AGGTGAGCTCATGGAGAAAAGTCATGGTGGCTTCCCAGATTTTTATACCGGCCTCCTTAAAAGAACACAGAATGGCAGGCAGAGCTTAAAAGCAAACATGAACGCAGAGGAGCAGCTGCGATGGACTGAGCTTCTGGGCGCAGTGGGCTCTAGGAAAGGGCTAAGGACGAGAGAACCAGCGCAGCGGATGGGAGCATGGCCCCGGAGCTGCCAAGCCTCTCTCTGCATCTGCCCGTTCCATTTTTCTACCTCCCTCCCTTTTCTTCCTTCAGTGCAGCACGATCTGATCTTCAAACTAGAAATGCTAGAACATAGGAGACTTACAAAACAACGTTTAAAAACCATGAGAACAAAGGTGGCCCTTCTTAAAGTGTGTCTGAGCCTCAGGTACTTGGGTCCTGAGGTCCTAACGAATGAGATGTGAGAAGGTGGCCAGGACGAGACATTCCATGCCACTTTGTAGGAAGGAGGAAAGTCTGGGTCCAGGGATCACACACTAGTGAACTCCTCCAAGAGATCATTACGCAGACAGTCTGTGAGAGCTTGGAAAAGGAAGTAGTGGTCACCAGGCACCAGTGCTAAAAACCAATGACCCAGGTATGCTTACACACCCGCCCTTGAGCGCCGTTGTGCGAATTGGCTTTGAGCGTCTGAGATGACCACAGTGCGGAGCAACAATGAGATCCTGTCACGCTCAGCGAACCCTGGAATGTGATTCAGTTCTGTGTCCTTGGCAAGAGTCCCTGGAAAGCTGAGGGGTGTGCAGGAAAGTTTATAGGGAAGAGGGAACTCCTGTTTGCCGAGCAAGCAACTTGCCGTGTGCTGGGCGTTGTGTTAAATATGGAGAGTGTGTGTGTGTAAATACCGATTAAACTGAGGATGGAAAGGGCTCTGTCAATGGAGGGGTTGGCCTGAGGTCAACAGCTGGGAAGTGGAAAAGCTACGACTTGAACCCAGATCTTACTCACCCGCAGCCCTCAGCGCAAGCCTGGTGGGGCCGTAAGCCATGGACATGGTGCCGTGCAAGAACTGTGGAAAGAGGGGGTAGTGGATCGCTTTACCAATGAGCTCATGAAGCGTGGTGGCAGTTTCCAAATATCCCGGAGGTTGCCCTGTGGACAGAGGATTAGCCTTGTTCTCTAAAGCCCCAAAGGGTGGAGGTAATAAGGCGCTTACTGTCCCATAACCACTTGCTGCTGGGAGCTCCCCTCTCTGGGTGCATTCCTCCTCCGCAGCCCGGGCGGAGAGGCAGTGCTGTGATCGTCCCTGGTTCGCCGGCGCAGAACCATGGAGAGCCAGGATCTCCGGCAGGTCGGCTGCCGAGCCTGGCCAGATATCCAGGTCTGTCCCACATGAGGGCCGCGTGGGTCTGTCCCCCACGAGGGCCGGCATTTGTTTCCCTCTGCTGCGTTCCTGTTGGTCGATTTCTAATCAACATATGCAAAAGTGGCCAAGTAAAGAGAAGCTCCCAGAAAGGGAGTCCTCTACTGGGAGTGAATTGCCCTTCGCTGACACATCCTGAGGGGCGGGGACGCTGGGTGGGATCCAGGCCTGATGACCCCCCAAAGTGTCTTTGTGCTACTCTGTTTTTCTTCTGTGCTCTTAAGAGAAACAAATTTACTTTAGATTACTAGTCGAGGAAAGGAGGTGTTGGCGGTGGGTCTGCTGTTCCTTTAGTGCTCTGTCAACCTGAGTTCTGTGACAATCTCCACATCTAGTTTCTCCAAGATCCCCTTTCTATTTCAGTCATTCATGGTAAGTTCATGAATAGAAAATAGAAGAGTTTATTGCTATAGCTTTGAAGCGTAACAGTTCCATTAGCAGGTGAGAATTAGAACTATGCGAACCTGAAAATAAAAACAAGAAATTTGAAGGGAGAACAGAACCTAACAAAACCTTAGTAATCATCATTGCAGTATAATGAGCTACTGTCTTACCATATAGTGAACTACTGTGGTATCCCACCTTTGATAATTACACAGAAAGTTGAGAAAATTGAGATGCTTTTTGGAAACAGGATCAAAATGGCACCAGACTTCAGGATAAAGAAGAGGAAAAAGTCTTCCCTCATTCTCCGGAGCACTCATGTTGGTCTCCTTCCCTCCCCTGCCCCTAACACACAAAATCACAGTTCTTCTTTTTTTTAAAAAAAGATTTTATTTATTCATTTGACAGAGACACAGCGAGAGAGGGAACACAAGCAGGGGGAGTGGGAGAGGGAGAAGCAGGCTCCCTGCTGAGCCGGGGCTCGATCCCAGGACCTCGGGATCATGACCTGAGCCAAAGGCAGACGCTTAATGACTGAGCCTCCCAGGTGCCCCCAGAATCACAGTTTTTAAGAAAACCATATGAATAAATAAGTGTTCTTGGAATATGTTTCTAGACCTGGAAATTTGGATCTGGCAGCCTTAATTTGTTGGTTTATTCATTTCTTGGTGAATGAGGTCCCTTGGAAAAACTTTGTGCCGCTTGGCTGTGTTGGTGGACACTTGTCTAAGCTCTGACTAGCAGACATTTTGGGTTAGCTAGAGGTTATCTTTTTTGTTGTTGTTGTGGTTATTTATCTTTAGTAAGGACACTGTACCTCTCTGAACTCACACGTAGCACCACCTGCCGTTAGTCCCCAGGGGCTGCCTCTGCACTCGGCAGCCCTCCGATTTGCTGGAATGTGCTTTGTCCAGCAAGGGAACGTTAACCTCCCTTGCTGCTGCTCCTGGCCGCCTTCCTGGTCTCCGTGCCCTGTCGGCAAGCCGCTCTGCCTTCATACCTGCCCTATCCGTTGTAATTCCTGTTCTCAGTCCATAGGGCATTGCCTAGTAATTAAAAACTCAAAAATGGAAGGAGTTTTATGTGTGATTCAGCTGAGCTAACAGACCTTACTTCCTTGGTTCGGGGGCAGGGGGGAGTGAAAACCTAGACAGACCACATCATAGGTCGGGTGCTCACTAGTGACGGCTCGGTGCCTCCCTCCCTCCTCCGCGAGCATTAGGAACCTTCTGTGTGTCCATTACCATGCTGGTGCTGGGGGCAGCAGGAGGTTGTCCTTTCTCCTTCAAGGAGCTCTAGCGTAAATGTTGGAGTACAAGGGAGGTGCTGTGGTAACGGGGAGCCCAAGGGGGTTCGTCAGCTCCTGTTGGGAGCATGGGGTGGGCAGGAAGGCTTCTCTGAACCACATCTTGAAGGATACTGAGGCTGTCAGGTGGAAAGGCAGGTGGATGTATGTGACTGGTTCTGAAGGGCTATGTAGGTCAGGACTCTGGGGAAAGACGAAAGTGGGAAGGTAGCCATGCTGAGGAGTTTGGACTTGATTCCGAGGGCAGTAGGAAGCCTTTGTGAGGTTTTAGAGGGAAATAATGAGACGTAGTTTGTGTTTTTAAAAATACCACTTTGCTAGCAAGGTAGAGAATGGGTTGGCCCTAGGGGAGCTAGGAAGCAGAGAGAGATGCTAGACAGGTTGCAAAAATCCAGGTGAGAAAAGAAGGTTCTGTGAAGTAAGGCCGTACCGTGGAGGAGAAGGAGAAAATACATTTCCAAGCCGCAGTGAGGAGATGGGCTGCAAAGAACGGGGTCGTGAGCAAGAGATGACGGAGAATAAGGGAGGGGTGGGTGTGGCTCAGGTTTCTGGCTTGATGGATCCGGGGCCCTTGTCCAGATGGGGCTTGGGAGAAGGAAGGCCCGGCTTGCTTGGAGAATTACGAGGACGCTCATCAATTTATTGGGCACTGGGATAAATTTGAGATGATTCAGAGACACTCAGTGGGGGGCCACCTAGAAGGATTGCTGTGGGGGCGGGGCTCGGTCTCAGTAAGGATGGAGGAAGAGATGTTTTCTGGGAATGAGGAGAGGGAGGTCCCACAGATGAGGCCCCGATTCTCCCCTCCCCTGCCCCATGCTGACAGCGCTCAGACCCGGCTGATCCCGCAGCAGCCTGCCCTAGACCCCTTCAGACTCCGCCAGTTGGGGCCTTGCTTACGACTTTCCCCCTTTCCACAGCCTTCCCTCCGCCTTCACTCTTGTCCCCAGCAGCCAGAAAAGAGCACCAGGAAGTGAGTCCTCTGCTCTGAAGAACCCATCCCCAGGGGTTCCTCTTCTCCCCTGGAGCGCATGCTCTGACCTTCCAGGGCCCCCATGTGCTGGCCTCTGGCTGCTTCCATGACCCTGTCACCGAGCCCACAAGCTCCATTGAAGCCACCGTGACCTCTGGCTGTTCTGCGAACGCTTCCAGCACCTTCTGGATGCCGCAGGGCTTTCATGGGAGTGGCTCCCACTTCTTGCAGTGGTGTTGCCAGGGGGTTCCCCGAGAGGTTCCCTATGCTCTGGCCTCTGCCTCTCCACAGGGTCTCCCCACCACCCGCCCTGGCTAGAACAGCCGCCCCACACACTGCCCCTCGTTCTGCCTCTTTTTCCTTAGAGCCCTCGTGTTGTTGATGGAGATCCCCTGCACATGAGCTCTGTGGCTTTAGGGCTTTTATCTGTCCTGCTGCTGGGAAAGCGCCCGGCCCGCAGTGGGCACCTGGGTGTGGGGAGATGGGCAGAGCCATGGAACGGTCGTGTGGAGGCCGTGGGCCTGCTGGAGAGGGACTCTGATAATGACACAGACTGTCTTCATCTCCCCCAGCGGGGCCCGCGTTGCCGGCTCCCCGACTCCCCTTGTCTGGATAGACCCATGGACAGGTGTCCAGAAACTTGCCCCCATTCCCATCAGTAGGATGTGGACTCATTGCTCTGATAAGGATGGTAACGATTTTTTCCCTTCTAACAGACAAGCTCCCAGCACAGATTTGCTGCCTGGCAATAGCATGGGGTCTTGTCCCGCCCATGCCCCCACTTCTGAATCCAGAGCTCACTCAGGGGAGTGTCTGGTGCTTTTGGAAAGTGCCGGCTGCCTTCGTAGGAAGAGGCGAGCTCTGTCTTCCGCATGTCCTTCAACAGAGTTTACCTTGTTGGAGATTTGAACCTAATGCAATCTTCGGTGCATTTTTCTGTTCCTCTTCGTGTAGGATCTTCTACGTTTCTCATGATTCCCAGGACCTGAAGATCTTCAGCTATATCGCCCGAGACGGTGCCAGCAACATTTTCAGGTGTAACGTCTTTAAATCCAAGAAGAAGGTAAATGGGCCATCTTTGGTCATTTTCTATTTTCCTCTGACGGAACCAGAATAACCCCCCTCCCCAGTGCTGACCCCTCCCCTGTTGTCGGAGAGGCAAGATTCGAGGTGGCTCTGCATGCGTGACATGCGGGAGCCCTCGAGCGGTCTGTCAGTGTCCCTGTGTAATGAACTTCCCCTTCAGTTTCATCTCAGCTTTGTACTCCGTGACACACGGGCATCTCGAGCATTCTTGGGCCGATGGACAAGGGCTCTGGAACAGGACAGGTGGATCACACCAGGAGTGTGGTAGGCAGGAAGCACGGCATTGACTTAAGTGACCTTCCATCATATTCTGAATATCGATCAGGGGTCTACAAATCATGACATGTGGAGGCAAGTGGAGACTCTGTGCGAGGTTGGCTGTCCTGGGTGGTTATTTTGGGGTTGTAACCTTGATGCTTGAGTAAATACAACTTTGGCAATTTGATAGATGCTTTTTCTATCTTTTCTCCAGAATTTAACACAAAACAGGAGTTAGAAACCTGGGGTCTAGCCCCTCCTCTCTACTGGAGCCCTGAGAGATGTTATGTGGGGCACTATCCCCTATGGGTCTCCGCTTCCTTGTCTATAAAACAAGGAGGTGAGTCAAAAGCAGAGTTTCCCACAACGTCTCCTGGAAAATATTTACCACCCAAAATGTTCCATGTCAAAATTATCCTCTTTGAATTTGCTGGGAAGTCCTAAAGTTCGAGAAACTCCTTAACTCTGTTTAACCCAGCATCTCACAAAACTGATTTGGCCACGGGATCATGTTTTTGCCTTGTAATCTGTGTAATCTCCTAGGAGCTATTTTTCTGCAGAGGGGATTTTAGAAAACACTTTCTTTATGCCTCTAAGATTCCTTACACGTCTGCTGGTCTGGCCACAAACCACAGAGCATGGTTTTCTGTGAGGACAACTTCCAAATCCCTTCCTAGGGACCCCTTCTTTGATGCTGTATGACTTCGTAGACTATAAAGCATCTTTAATGGATTTGAAGGGACTGTGTCAAGTAGGCCTAATCAGGATAATACGTGACAGGGCCATGATTCACTAATGTGTGTGTCCAGTCCCCGACCTGTCCCCCGTGCTTTACTAATTTACCTTCTTCCTCTAAGGAGATTGGTGCCCTTGGCCACCTGTTCCCAGGCTTTTTAATGCAGATCATGGAATTTGGATAGAAGGACCTAGAACTGGAAAGGTGGAAGGAAAATGCGCAAGTTGCCAGACTTCTAGATGATAGTACAGTGGAGGGAAAGTGTGTAAGTGGGGCCGAGTCAAGCTGCGTGTTGAAGAACTGATAGGAAGAGGAGGAGGGAGAGGGGGGCAGACAGAAGCCAGAGGGGTTGCGGACAAGCACGGGGGGCTTGGGAGGGTGAATGGCTCTTCTATAGTTTGGAGGTATAAGGGATCTGGGAAATGCAGTGTTCCTGAGAATTAAGAATTGGCTCCTACATAATGTGCTTTGACAGGTGCAGCTAAAGACTACGATCCCTTTTAATTCATTTTGAATGCCCCACTGGCCATCCGACTTCCATTTCGTCTGGAGACTGGACCACGTGGGCCTTGGGATTTATTAGAGCTACACACTGCATGTTATAATTTACCAAGTACTTTAATATCTAACCTTCTTTGATTCTTCTAAATCCTCTGTGAAGAAGTTAAGACAGGTAGTTTTCACCCCCGTCTCCCCGATGACTAAACGGAAGCTCAGAGAGATGCAGTGACTTGCATGGTCGCCTGAAGAGGCACTGGCCGGAGTCAGAATGGAAGAATTTTGAGCAGGGAAACCTAGGGTAAAGGGTATCATTCCTTCTGTTTGCTTTGTCATCAGATCTAGCAGAGTGACACAAACACAGTGGGGTCGTCCCGTTTCTGCCAAAACCTGATTCGGGGAGCAGGGCCTACTGGGACTTTGACCTCGAAGAGAAGCACGGAATTAAGCTCTTATTACCCAGTGACAAGCAGTGGTCGCCTGGCTCCCTCTCAGTTCAGCTTTTCCTGTGTCTCCAAGCTCTCGGGCCTCATTCGGATCTGGCTCTTCTATTTCCCGTGGCTCTTTCCCCTTAGCTCCTGAGTTGTTACTCTCAGAGGAGTGGGTTCTCAGGCCCCTTGCTGGCCTGCAGCCACGCAGCTGGGAGAATGCTGTCCCCAGCCTGTGGGGCGCGCCGCTGCCCAAACGTGCGTGGAAGAGCCAGTGAGGAGAAGTGAGGTGTGCAGGGAAACCCGCAGACGGCGCGCGGGGGACCGGCCTGCAAGGTTTTGCATGCTTATCCCGGTGAGCCTCTGGGGACGGTGATTTGCGGTTTTGTAAAGCGCTTCTGGTCTGGGGAGGTAACAGTTAGTTTGGGTGAGAGTTTTAATTGGCCAGTCATAGGAACTTAGGGGGGTGGGGGTGCGGGGACTCCATGCCCTCAGGGGACGTGTCTTGCAGGGATGTTTTCAGAGCATCGGAGGTCGATCGGGAGATCTCTTGACTGGCAGTCAGCAGACCTGGCTGTTCTCCAGAGCCTTTGTGTTGATCACAGTGTAGAAAACCCACTGATGAGCTCCTTGCTGTGTCAAGGGCTTGGGGTATCACTGTTTGGATCACACCATGGCCCCAGTGTGGGCGCCCAGGGCCCGGACAGTCTCCTCATGTGGTTCCCGTTCACCCTGGGGAGCAGAGCTGTCTCTCCTCTGGGTTGAGAACAGGGGTGAGGCATCTCTGCTGTCCTGTTGGAGGCCCCCATCTGCGCCCCCACACGACTATGATTCTGGATCTGGGGAACCTTGCGCAGGTTGCTCACACATATGGCCGGCGTGGTTCTCCTCTTGGGCTCTTGTCAGGAGCCAGACAGCAGAAGACTGTGGCAAGCCAGCCTAGCACCTGCTGGTCACCCTAGGACCCCAGGTCACTCAGGTTCTGGCTTAGAAGGAAGTCATCTGTTTTGTTTACCTGCTATGCCTGTGACTCTTCTAAACTCTCTATATGTAAGTTCTCTTACGTCATTCCTGCGGCAGGTGTGTGAGATAGGCACTTGTCCACTCTTCATTTTCCAGATGGGAAAACAGAAGCTTAAGGGGCATAAGTCATAACAAGTGGGACTGAGCCCAGAGAATCTGACTCTTAACCACTCCATTTGACTGTTTTCCATCAGGAAGTTGCAGACTTCTCCAAGACCTGTTTGCAGTAAGATTCTCCTGCCCTTGTCATTTGCGTACGGAGAGCTCCTTAACTCTGAATGACCCAAGGCACTCTGACATAGATTTCCCTTTTTTTCCTCTCACTGTCTTTGTAGGGTAGGTATTGACTCCATCATATAGTTGGCGAAGGAAAGGGCCCAGGGAAGTAGGTGGCCATTGGTCGCACAGTGAGTCAATAGTGCCGCTGACGCTAGAACCGCTAGAACCGGGCCTCCCGCCTCCTCACCCTGAGCTCCAACCAACCTCTGTTCCGTGAAACTCGTAAAAGGAATGTGAACCCCTCCCCCAACGAAGTGCGATGAGAGGCATCTCAGGAATGCCGGTGGTTGTGTGTGGAAATATCCGATCATCAGGAACAAGTTCTGTGTGACTGGGAAGGATTGCCAGGATGGTTGGTGGACGTGTGTCTGCAGAGGGGGTGTCTGTCCCCGTGTCGTTGAGGCTTCTGCAAGAAAGGAAGGCTGGGAGCGGGGCTTCTCCTTGCCAGAGCATCTGGTGGAGATGTTTCCTAATGACCACGGCATCCTCCTTCCCCCCTCTGGAGCGTTCGATGCTAGTATTCATGTGCAAGGCCTCTTGCCTCCTGTGTGGTCTCTTGACCTCTCCTGTGCAGTGGCTGTCGCCCTCCTGTCCTTTCCTCCTGCCCCCAGGAGGATGAGGCTGTCGGCCCTGATTAAGTGTGACTGTACTTAATAGCGCGTCAGTGCGTGAAGTGTTGGTGATTAACAGAAGCTGTAGGAAGCTCCGTTCTCTTCGCGGGCAGCTCCTTGAAATCGTTTTGCCTGCCATCACGGCTCAGCTGGTTTGGGTTAGGAGAAATGACTTCCTCCTGTAATGCTGTCACCGTCAGATGAGGGCCCACTGCTGAGAAGTCTCACAGTCTGTCCTTGATCACTTGTGATAGACTTGGAATGATGATGACAGTCATGGGCTAAACAATAAGTCACTTGCCCCACCAAGTTTAGGATGAAGGAGAGGGAAGTCTGACACTCAGGGAAAGAGCACTTTTTTGTGTGTCTTAAATGCTGGGGTGGTGGGTTGGAGTTGGGAAGTCAAAATAGAGAAACCACAGGTTTCAGAACTCATCTGGTCCACACCTCTCTGTTTATGGATGAGGAAATCGGCACCTGGAAAGGTGAGTCAACTTGCTCCTGGTCACCTGGGTGGTGAGTGCCAGTAGCAAGGTTATAACCCAGCCTTCTTACCTCTATGGTCCTATGGTTCATGGACTAGCAGAGTACAAGGAAGAACCCAGCAGTGTACTGGAAATTTTAAGATCTCCTATGTCCTGTCGATGTCAAAACTCATACTCACTTTGAAACCAAACTTTCCCCATAGCGAGCAATATTCTGGTGTCCCAGGCACTGCCTCAATCAAATTATAGATCAAGGCCATTCCATAACCTGTTGGACAGAATCCTCACCCATCTCCCATTTCAGAGCCTTCTTACCTTGGATCTTTCTCTGTGTTGAAGTCCAAATATATATTTTTTGCTTCAGCATTGTGAATTCTGTACACTGCAATCATTTGATAGATATAAGCTTAAATCTTTTACTATAGTTAAAAAAAAAGCACATGAAAGAATCATATCTTCAGTTCTATTTTTTGTTGTTGTTCAGACTCTGTGGTAGTTCAGGTCAAGATAAGGGAATTGGACTTTATTGCTGCAATAGATGAGAAGAATCATGAACCAGGGGCCATTCTGGACCTGACTTATTGGACTTCAGTCCCCTAGAATTCAGAAGCACATGGCAGACAGGTCTCAAGTGTGGGGGGCGGGGGCAGTAGATGAGAGTGGAGAAGAAAGAGCTGTAGACTAAGGAGGAGTGTGCCCCACGTCTCTCCTTTCTTACTGTTCCCTTTGCCATCTTTGTATCCATGATGAGCACCTGCTCCTCCCTTTCCTCGCTTACCCAAGGACTCATTTCATCATCTCCAGATTGTGAAATACACCTTCTTCCAGGACAGCGAAAAGCAGAGCAGTGCCCAAGGTCATTCATTAAGTCATCTGCAGAATCAGACAAATAGATACCAATCTTCACGCGTGTGTCACACTCGGAAGATTCCCCATGTCAACAGGGCCAACCAACAACAGGGAAGAGAAGCTAAAATCATGACAGGCTATACTTTTTCCCTGGATCAGCCAAGTACGGGGGCATCAACCTTTTGATTTCTGTCTTCCTGAGGCCACCACTGCGGGCTCTTGTGTGCCTTTGAGTCACTGCCACTGTCACAGAGAACGTGGCCTTAGTTCCTGGTGGCTGCTGCGGTTCCCTGGATACTGACACCCATTAGGCGTGTTGTTGGCAGCCCCAGTAGGCACACTAAAGAGGACAGCCTTTGGTTGTGTCTTGACCCCTGTGCTGGACAGACAGATGGCCTGGGGGTGGGGAGGAGGATGGAGGCTTTGTCGGCGTGAATAAGTGGAATGGTTTAAAGAAGCATTTCTGTGTGTCTAGAGAGTAAGTAGCACCAAGTTGTAAGACTGCCTCCTTTCCAGGCCTGTTTCACTAAGTTGCCTGTAATCGGCACTCTCCTGAGCTGCCGTGCTCCCTGTCTGTGGCCGAGAGCCACTCCGAGGTTAGATATTCCTTCCCAGCTTTGAAAAACATCAAAGTGACCACTGCCGGCCTAGTCTTGACAACTTACAGCCCACAGATGCTTTGGGGCTGCTGATGGAAAGTGGCTTTTGGACAGGAAGATTGGATCCATGTGGCTGAGCACTTTCAGGGGACTTTTGTGAGGCCAACCAGGATTTGTCCAGAAAAAAATGTGGCAAAGTGACACTTTGTAGAAATCTAGCAAATTCCAGAGAAGGGCCAGATTCTGGAACTGGGGAAGACTGCCTTCCCAGCAGGCCACTCATATGTCCTGCTCCATGCCTGGCTGCCTTCCCAGCTTTACATCTCCACTTTGATGTCTGAAGGCCTGTTTGTGGTCATAAGATGTGAGCAGCTGCTTGTGGCCCTTGGGGACCTATGGAGAGGTTCTTTTGAAAGCTGCTTGTAGTGAGAGTCCTCCCTCGTGGGCTTAGGCATGGCATACAAACTAGTAAGTCTTAGCACATGTGAGTCCTACATTCCTCAGTGGTGGCAGGCAGAACCAGCTTTCTTGCTTGGAAGGCCAGAAGGCCCAGTCCCTCACTGGGGCAGGCCCAGCAGATAGGAAGCAGCATGGCTGTGCAGAGAGCAGATGGCACCAGCGGAGGGAGGGACAGGCCCTGCCTGGCACAGGTTGGCTCTCCAAGCCTCCTTCCAGTAACTTCCCCTAGTGGGGTCCTTAAATGGGAATCACCTAACAGTAGACTTCCCACGGGGGAGGGGAGGCAAGCCTGAGAGGTCAGTGGGCACCAGAACTCACACAGCCATTTCTGAGAACTGGGAGCCATCCAGCATCTCGCAGCTCCTGGAGTGGTGAGAAGGGAGCCCCGTGCTCTTACGTGTCTCTCTCCTCCTGTAAAGCAGGCAGCCGAGTAGCTTGATTCCATGTTCAAGTTCGAGGGCTCTCCGTGGAACGTGCCACTGGGTCCTTTCCTGTGAGTGGAAATGTGACTCCCATTAGCACAAATCGAAGGAAGCCGTTTAGCCGAGAATGCACATCTAGAACTCGAATCCGACAATTTCCTGGTGGTGGAAACCATCACACAGGCGCAGACCAAAGATCATCCGGCCCATCGCTTCTCCTCTGTTACGTGCTGTGGGCCAAGGGTGGTTTCGCCTTTTACTTTCGGTGCTCACCTGTGTAGTAAGAGGCACCTCTCTTAACATCTGTTTCTGTTGTGATGGAGTCAGTGAAGCCTTTCCTGTTTATTTTCTGTCTTAATTGCCTCTCGGCCCCAGACCCCGTTCATGAGCCCCGAGGCTGAGCCGAGCGCTGCAAGACACACTGTCACGCACCTTAGTCATACACGGACCCCTCTGGGAGGGGGAGGGGAGGTCGTAGATGGCGCTGATTCAGCCCTTTGGGTGACGTCACAGAGGCGCACACAGAACAGCTGTCACGAAGGGCGGGTCGGAAGGAGCGGGGGCCTGAGGAGAGGAGGCGGGGAGCCATTTGCGACACAGGGATGGTGGGACCGGGGAACCCATAGTCCACATTTTCTGCCTCTTTGGGGAACCGAGGTGAGGGTCCTCGGCTGCTGATGGTGAGCGAACTAATGTGTGAGCACGAGGCACGAGGGGGACTGAGCCCACTTCTTCTGGCCCCCCTGGGCTTGTCAGTGATTGCAGCGGGAGGGTATGTTCTGGACGTGTGTCCCTGATAAAGGGGGCAGAGATGTGGGCCACAGTCTGGGCTCTTCAGAGGTCAGTCCTGAGTGTGCTCGGTCGTCCGGCTGGGATGCGTGAGAAACGCAGGTCCTCAGAAGAGCGGGTTCCCACTGGATTGAACTCCGAGCGCTCCCTTTCGAAGAGAAGGTGAAGAGTCCTGGCCCAGCCCCTGTCTAATCCTCTAGGTCCAGGGGCACGTGTATGAGGACTTGCCAGCTTCTAACATCATCCCCAAAGCCAGTTGAGGAGTGTGTCTGTGGCTCCCAGGGGTGGTGGAATTGGTCCCCTGTCCTCCCCAGGAGAACCTGAAATTTTTAGCAACAGATGCCCGAATGACTGTGGAGCTTGGCCGGGTAGGCGCAGCTGACCTGGGATCTGATCAGTCAGAATGTGACGAATCTCAGACATGGGCGTAGGGGGCTCAGCCACGGTTAAATAAACTGCTGTGGTGGTGGGACGTTTGGGGACCCCCACGGACAAGGAGCAGTGAGCTGAGCTCACCCACCCTATAGTTTGCACCAGACTCAGTCTTGGGAGGAAGGTGAAAGCGGACTGATAATGTGCTTGGTCAGCTATCCCCTCCGGAGGCCAGGCACTGGAAACCATGCTGGGGGCTCTTCATGGGAGCCTGTGTGGGTCCCTTGAGACTGTAGGGGACCAGACTCCCTTGTCCCATCTCCTCCTCCTCCTCCAAGTTAAGGAGAGCTAGAGTCAAGCTCTGTCCTTGGGCTGTTAAAAGAAGTAGTTAAACATCCCCTCAGCCCAGACTCACCAGTCCCAGGAGGGAAGAAGTGACCGCTGAGTTGCCCGTCGTGTGGCAAACCCACTGAAAGTGTGATTATGCTTGGCGAAGGTGTCAGAAAGATCTTGACCACTTTTGTTAAACCCGGGAGGAGGAAATGGGCTAAGTCCAGAACGGGGGTGTTTGGTGTCTGTCCTTCCAGTTGACTTACTGTTATGGAACCCTGGTGAGTGTCTATTTTCTGGGCCATTTCAAGAAGAAAACTGGCTTTGCACTCCTCTTGGTCAGCATGGACATCACTTTCCATCTCTTTTGTGGGTTTCTGTATGCGAGGTCCTGGCACGTCCTCGCCCATCCCTGGCCTTTCTTGTGTCCTTGCAAAGGGTCCCCACGCCCTTCACTTGCTCTTTTCTTCTCCTTTCTCCTTCCCAGAGCCAGGCTATGCGAATCGTGCGGACGGTCGGGCAGGCTTTCGAGGTCTGCCATAAGTTGAGCCTCCAGCACACGCAGCAGAACGCAGACGGCCAGGAGGACGGAGAGAGCGAGAGGAACAGCAGCAGCTCAGGGGACCCAGGTAGGCACCCCGCAGGTGGCTGCGGTGAGCGTGGGTGGACGGATTGGGGGACACCCAGTATGGGGCCGCGCCTCCCTCCACCAGGGCCCAGGCAATCAGTCCACTTCAAAAAACAAGTTAGTGTTTCTTTCTCTCTCTGGATTCCAAACCTTCCTTATGGAAGCACGTGTGGCTTTCCTAATAGAAAATTACAGATGTTTATCGAACAAGGAAGCATTTAAGCGGCTGATGCTACCAAATCCGACCCCCAAGTAAACTCCAGTACAAAAGCATATTTGTGAAACAAATCAGAAAGAAGATAAAGTTTATAGTGACCTTAATAGCTCTTTCCCTGTTTTCTAAGTTCTGTAGTGCTGTAAACCTTCGATGTGGACATATTTTCAGTACCTCTCATTTTGGAGTGTCATCGAAAGTCAGGAAACCTGCGCGTCTTTTACAAAAATACAAATTCTCCTGTTCATCTCCCGCTTTAACAAAGCAATACAAATTTCTGACAGCACGAGGGGCACAATGGAAAGCTATTATATTCAGACCACGGGGGACACAGGTAACGTGGTGTGCAGAGGAAAATCCAAAGTTTCGACTATTTACATTAACAGATAACCAATTGTGAAAATCAAATTAGTGAGGTATCAACTCAGGAGGTCAGAAAACAACAAAGTAAAAGCTCACACTGCAAAGGGCTCGAGAACGCAGATGATTCGTTTTAATTCTGGCAGCACCAGGCCCCTGCTGTGTGATCTGGGGCAAGTTAATAACCTCTTTGGGTCCTAGTTCCCTCTTTGGAAGAAAACGGGAATAAAGTCGTGTCCATCTCATAGGATTATTGTGACCACAGATGAGCAGATACTTGTGAAACACTTGGTTCATAGTAAACACCAGATACATATTAGCTGTTATTATTTTAACAGAAATATGGAAAAATAAACAAGAAAGAATAGAAAAATTCCTGGAAAAATGAGCAATGACAGATGAGTGGCTATGCAGACATGAAGACATAAAGCTACACTAGCTAGAAATACCGAGGCATGAATGTGTCCCTGAATGGGTCGAAATAGACCCCAGCACATCCAACATATGATGTTATTCTAGATGTTGCTGGGAAGCTATTTTCCAGATGAACATTTATTTTAAAGACTTTATTTATTTATTTATTTGAGGGTGGGGGAGGGAGTGAGGGAGAGCACAGAGGGAGAGTGAAATGGAGAAGCAGGCTCCCTGCTGAGCAGAGCCAGATGGTGGGGCTCGATCCTAGGACTCTGAGACCATAACCTGACCTGAAGTCAGACACCCAACTGACTGAGCTGCCCCGGTGCCCAGAGACTAACATTTAAATCAGGAGGCTTCGAGTACAGCAGAACACCCTCAGTGATGTAGGTGGGCCTTAACAAATCAGTTGAAGGCCTTAATAGAGCAAAAGGGGAATTCTGCCAGCAGATGGCCTTTGGTCTTGGACTGCAACCCTTCCCTGGGTCTTGAGCTCGCCCTACAGATTTTGGACTTGTCCCGTCTCCACATCCCATGAGTCAGTTCCTTAAAATCAGTATGTTTACGTGTATTTCCCTGATACAGTTTCCATCACTCTGCAGGGCTGTATCCTCATTTACACGAGGAGGGGCGAGGCCCTGTCACATGCCCTGCTCTGCAGGGATGCCAATCGGTTACACAGACATCCTATCCATGCTGGACCTCCTTAAGGATGTACTCTCAGGTGTTTGACCTCTTAAACTTGGAAGAAACTGTACTAGACCAGGTGTTTCTATATGTAGGGCATCATTTACATTACATCTTGGGGAGAGGGATTGCAGGAGAAGCCAGGTAGCTGAGGTCTTATGTATATTAATGTTACTTGAGAAAATGCTTACTGAGAAGGTAATAAGGGGAGGGGTGGCATGGCTGGCGGGCCTATTATTTCAGCACTGACCATCCACTACAGCTGGAGGAGCACAGTCACGTTGGTCTCAACCCACAGCCACTGTCACTGTCACCATCACCAGCTCTCTGCTCAGCCCGCTGGTCTTGCCCTGAGGTCCCACTCCCGCGATCCCATCTGCCAACTGCCCCAACCACCATCATTCTTAATAACATTTCCTTTTCTCCAACTTTCTTATTCTAAGATTATGGTGTGTTACCTCTAACCCACGAAATATGTGTTGGTTGACTATTACTGATACGGTTATTAACAATGGCGGGCTCTTAGTCATGTTTTGGGGGCATCAGAAGTTACATGTGGATTTTCACCCGCATGGGGTGGTCGGTGCCCCTAATTCCCATGTTGCTCAAGGGCCAACTGTATGGTACTTGAAAGACATGTTACACAGTAGCTAGTTCCGTGGCTCTGAGTCGGAAATGTGTGACCTCCCCCATTACGCAGTGCGGGAAGGAGGCAGGAGGATCTCTTGAGTCCCATGGTCTTGGGGCAGGTCTGAGTTTAGTGACGAATTATGGTCCCCTCCGATTGCAGCCTTTACCACGAAGGGTACGTCTACTTAGAGCACTGTGTTTGGGATGCCACAGATCTGGAATGGAAGACCTTCCTTCCTCCAGGAAAGCTGCTTACTGCTCGGCCCCATAGTCCCGTGCTCTTTACGGCCCCTCCTGCTTGCTGACGGGCTGTAAACCATTAGGAGCACGTCTCTTCCGTCCATAATGCCTCCCCCAGAAGCATTTATTGACTGCAGTGGGGTCTTCGCTTGTAATGAGGCACCCTGAAACACCAGGGTAGAGCGGTTGGTTGGTGTGTGTGTGTGTTTTTTACGAGCACCTCGCATCCATGTTCGGGAGCTTTCTTTCCATTTACCTCAGGTTTATCTCCCCCTTCCCCCACCCCTGCCCCCGCCGGAGCCGCCCCACGTGACCTGACGACAGGCCCGTGACTGTGCAGGGCCGACCTGTTTACTCCGAGGACTTAGATGGCGCTGGGTTGTGCTGCCTTTGATGTCTCGTCCACCCCCTGCCTTCTGGTTTCAGCAACGCTTTCAAGATGGCATTGACCTTCTCTGCGTGTGCTGCCAGCCCCGTTCCCTCTGCGCCTGCCTTTCTTTCCTCCCTCATTCTTTCCACCGTTCCCTACCCTCGGGGAGATTTATCTTTTGTATCTTCTGGCAGCGGCTGCCTTGGGCCCGTCCCTGGGGCTCGGAGCCAGGTGGGGCCTCGGCTCCCATTCCGCCTGCCTTGCTCTGCCTTGTGTGGTTTCTTTGGCTCCTGGAGAGGGTTTCCTGGGAGAGATCCTGTTCCCTTGGAGGCACCCTTCTCCCCCAGCAGCCATCCCACAAGGGGAAGGGCTTGGAATCCTTGGGAAGAATAGAACTTCCTGAAAAGAAAGCTCTGACCATCTGGACAGTGAGCAGCGGGCGGGGTGATGTTTACCACGCACCTGTGTCATCTGCTCCCTTGCCTCCCCGCTCCTCCAGCCCCGGCGACTGCAGCCCGACCCTCTGTTTCTCCTTGGTTTTAGCATCCTCCTCCATTCAACAGGCATTTCTCTCATCCCTACCCCCTCAACCCCCACCCCGCCCCGAGGTGCCAGGCTCGATTCTGGGGATAAACTGTGAACAGCAGGACAGGTCCTCAGGGGCGAGGAGCTGGCCTTCAAAGTTGGGGTTGCAGTACAAACCCGTGAGATACACCGGATCATCTGGGAGTGTGTCCGTGAAGCATTGAAGGGGGGGTCAGGGGGTTGGGGGGGCTGCGGGTGGAAGCAACCAGCCCGTGGCAGGGGTGGGGGGGATCAGGGTGATAGCACCCAGCTTCAGAGCCCCAGGCCTGGAGCCCCGGCACCCGCCTTCCCAGCTCTGTGCCTCAGTTTATCTGTCAGTGCCTGCCTCTGAGGGCAGTTCTGATAAATGATTTATACGAGTAAAACCCTTAAATCAGTGCCCAGAAAGTAGTGATGCTGTTTAAATTTAAGCAAGTTTCCAGGGCAGTTTTGAGGCCCCACAGTGACCATTTCTAGCATTCCCAACTGAACCGATAAGCTCCTGTTCTTTTTTGAAACCATTTTATTACCATATCTTTGACACGTGACAAGTTCTGCATTGACCCAGCGACGCCTTTCCGTTGAGCCCCTGATGCCGGGCTGTGCCCGGGAAACCGGCCTTCCACAGGTCCCACCCCTTATGCTCCCCGGGGCCACCCGGCTCGGCCAGTCCTGCTGCTTGTGTCCAGCTTCCGCCCTGTGGCCAGTGTCCTCCCCCTGGCCAAGATGAACCTTCACCTTCTTCCTCCTGAGCACCAGGCCACCAGTGCCGTCTCTCCCAAGTGGTCACCTGGGTCTTCTGCTAATGCTGACCTCTTGTCCACTGCAGACAGATAAGGTCAAGCCATTCTCATCGTCAAAACAAACCCACGCCAGCCGGCCTTGCCCCCGCATCTCCCCTGCCTTAGCTCTTTCTCTCGTGGTTCAGCTTCTTGCCAGATTTATCTGCACTCATACAGCTTCTTCCTTGTCGCCCCATCCTGGCTGCTAGCCCTTCAACTCAGACGATGCAGTGTCTGGTCCCTGCCAGCCCTTCCTGGGACCATCGGTCAAGGTCACCGAGGGCCCCTAGCTAGCAAACCAAACCAGCCTTTCTGGACTTTCTGGGCTCAACCTTTCTTTTTTTATCTGCCACTTGCTTTCCAGCATCCTTTATGTTTCTCCTGGGCTCTGTCCCTGCTGCTTTCTCCTGACTTCCCATGTGTTCGACTGGTGTTTATTTCCAGACCAGACCTTTTTCCTGAACTCTCCAACAGCTGATGGGTATCTCCACTTGGCTCTTGAAGAGAGACCTTGTGATTCTAGTAGGTCTGAAGTTCCGTCTTACCCACAGCCCTGCTCTTCCTGAAACTGCCCTAAAGGCCACCGGTCCCTACCAGCTCACCTAAATCAGAAATTTCAAAACTCATTTTACCTATATCCCTCTCTCCCTTCCTCCATCTCTCCGTATTCCCACCCCTCTTTCTCCCCCCACCACAGTTAGTCTGTTACCCTGTCCTGTAATTTCTGCCCCCTGAAAACCTTTTATATCTGTTCTCCTGCGCTACCGCGACCCCCTTCACGTAAACCCTCCTGTGTCTCCCCTGGAGTGTTGCTTTCTATGTTGTCCCTTCTAGATCTGCCCTCCACATCATCTCTAGGGGGAAATTTGAAAGGATGAAAACCCTTCAGTATTACTCACCTGCTTTCAGTCCTTCCAGATAAAATCCCGACTCTTCCCCGTTGGGTCCTGCCGTACAGAGCCATTGGCAGTCAATACCTCTGTATCTTTGCCCCCCGCTTGGACACCTCTGCATGGGCTTCTCTAGCACCGCCACCACCGCCCCGGCCCCCCTGGCTCCGACTCTGCACTCAGGAGAGCTCCAAGGGGACACAGCCTCCTGCTGCCACCTTGGTGTCTGTCTGTTTCCTCCATCAGGCTGGGGAAGCCTTGAAAATACACCTCTTTGCTCACTTATTCTGATGCCCAGTGCCTTTCTGTTCTATACAGGGGTTTTACACATACTTACTGAAGTAAATGAAATCAGCATATGTTCTGTAGTTCCTAGTTATAATTCATTGCATCAAGTAGAAGTAGTTTAAAGAAGCAGTTCAGAAAGCAACATTACCCTCCCCTGCCCCCCCCCCCGCCAAGTACAGTCTTACTTTTCCCTCTTACATGTGGGAATCCAGAGTGCCCAATCTTGTAAGTGTCCCAGTTTTGCTAGAAGGTTTTGCATAGCGTTTCTTGTCCTTTAAGCTTCCTGATGCTGGGAGAGTTGCAAATACGAGATATCCCCCCCTACTTGTCTGTCAGGACCTAAGGAAGACCACTGGCTGTGGGTCCACCCTCTCGATTTGCTTTATCTGGTATGCTAACAGGCGCGGCATCCAGAACATTCTGTCTACCCCCAGCTTTACCCTCCTGGTTCTAACAGGTCTATTACCATCCTGGCCTCCACCCGTCAGCCATTATCCAAGCTCAGGACTTCAGATGTGATCGTCAGAGAGCCCAGGCAGTGGCAGGAAATCCCTCAGTAAGCGGGTCCCGTGGCTTGGGACCCCCTTCCCCAGGCTTGGTGTGGGAACCCCACTAGTACAAACAGAATGACTGAGAAGTCTGTGAGTCCCTCAGAAGCAGAGTGAGAACCCAGGAGAGTTTCTGATCACTCCAGGCTTCTGGCTGGGCATTTCCACACAGTTTGCACCCTTGGTACTGGGGATTCCAGGAATGGGGAGCTGGTGGGGGCTGGGGAGGGGCAGCCTTCTTCTGTAGCCCACTCCCCTGTTTTGCTGTCCTGTCATGACACTAGTTCCTTTGTTAGTGTTTACTGAATACCTTCCCCATGCCTGATCCCAGGTGCTAAGTGTGCCGACAGATGGATACGTGGTGCCGTGGGACTGAGCCTCTCCTCGGGACTAGGGGGAATCGTTTCTGCTCAAAACACGGGCATTTCACCCTGTTCATGTGCACACTGGCACAGAGAACCAAGCCCATCCACCTGCTGAGAAATGACCACAGGTTCTCCGCCAGCCCTCCAGCTCACGGGCTAGCCCTCTCAACCGTCAGGAAGGTCACTTCTGGCGCAGGGGTGTGGAGGGATGCAGCTTGCTCTGGATTCCTGCCCGCTGGCTCACAGGGGAGCAGAGCTGCTTTGCCAGGCCATGGTCTGCGGCTGTGTCCCAGGTCCCGGAGCAGCCGGGAGGGAAACCAAGCACCCCATTGGCATTCTGAATACCAGACTTGCTTCCCCAGATGACTCACATGGGTTTGCGGAGGAAGACCTGCTAGAATGGTTTGTTCTAGGGGCACCTGGCTGGCTCGCTTGGTAGAGAACCGACTTTTGATCTTGGGGTGGTGTTCAAGACCCATGTCGGGTATAGAGATTACGTAGATAAATATTAAAAAGACAAAAAAACAAAACCAAACCAAACCCATTTGTTCTACAAGGCAGGCCCTCTGATGACCGAGGCCTGGCTGCTCAGGGAGGAGCTGGCTCTCCATATTTCCTACTGACGCTAACCTCTTCCATTTTTCGCGTGGTGCTTGGTCCCTGAAATCTTTTAAGAAATCTTATTTGTGTACAGTAGCAGTGAGCCTAATTCCAAATGTAGAGAAAGAAAAATGCTTCCAGGAATGGCCCAGGAATGGCCAGGTTTTTATAGAATCAAGAACTAGGAACAGGGACTGAAGGAAAAGAAATAGCAGGACTTTCACACATATGTGGCGCACAGCCGCTGTCTTCAGTGGGGAGGTGAACAGTAGAGTGTGGACAGACTGGAGAAGGCTTGAAACCCGGCCACCCCCTCTATCCCCCCAACTGCTGCCTCCTGAAGGCCCCTTGCCTGACTTCTGCGCTTGGTTACAAGGTCAAAGTCTAGCTCCACTCAGAGGAGTTGGAGGGCTGTTCCTGTCTCAGACGGGGCCTCAGGTCTCCTCACCCTCATTCTTCTGTCATATACCCCTCCTTGTCCATCTAACTCAGCCTCTGATTTTGCCATTGGAGCTGGGGCACTGGGAGTGGGGTCCGTTACCCCTGGTCTGACAGCCCACTAGGGGCATGGCCAGGGAGCTCCCCATGGCTCTGGAGTCTTTCCCTGGGTGGATTCCACTCCTGAGCTCAGAGGAGGTCGAGGTGACGGTCACCCCCTCTCTTGTCGAGACCCCGCACCCCGACCATATCGACCTTATGCCAACCGGGCAAAGCAGTCATGTCCAACCTCAAGGAAACATCATTTTTGCTTCTGGCCTCTGAAAAGATTAAATGGGAACATCTGGCTGGGCTGGGAATGAATGTGATGTGCTAGGAAGGGAGGAGGACCGTGTTCTTTGAGGAGGACTGTGTTCTTGGCGGCGTCCTGCCCTGCCCTTCCCTCTGTCATCCCGCAGGCCGCCAGCTCCCTGGAGCCGAGAGGGCCTCCTCGGCCACCGCAGAGGAGACAGACATTGACGCAGTGGAGGTCCCGCTCCCGGGGAATGACATCCTGGAATTCAGCCGAGGTGTGACTGACCTTGACGCAGTGGGGAAGGAAGGAGGCTCCCACCAGGACCCAAAGGTAGGTGGGAGGCGACCCATCACACAGTCTGCGTGCACACGACCTCCTGGAGCAGCACAGACAGCGGCCTTGGCCACTGTCAGAGTCATGTCCTCGCCCGTGCAGGGTCAGCTTCAGAGTGAGGGGCGGGGGGTGGGGCACCAGAGCAGCTTCCCTATCCTGTGAGAGCGGCCCAGTGTGCCGACGCTGGGCCCCACTGTGTGTCAGGACACCGCAGGGTTATGCCTGATGAACGTCACCCTCCAGAGGCCCCGCAGTGCTCCCTGATGGTGCTCCTTGGAGGTCCTGCCCTCTGTGACTCCTTGTCGCCACTCAGTGCCTGTGCAGAGCTAATCCTCACGCACCACAACCGATCTCCGAGGCTCAGCTGCCAGGGCAGAGTGGGCCCGGGCTCCCTCTGCCTGCAGCTAGCGACTGCTGGGGCACTCCCATGCATGGGGGCTGAGGCTGGCACTTGGTCCCTTGGGGGTTAGAAACCCAGGCATCATCAGCTCCAACCTCCCGTCTTCCGGCTGAGATGACTGGGCTCCCAGGGAGTTCTTAATAGAATCCAGACCGGTACTGAGAACTTGAGAGCACATTCCAACCTGAAGACACAATGGAAAAGCCGGGAGGAGGAGGTTGAGAAGTGGGCCTCCACTTTGACTCCCTGCGACCTGGCTGCCTCCCCTTCTTGTCGGGTGTCTGTCAGCCTTTTCTGGTGCAGGTCGGTGGGTGGCTCATCGGGAGAAGCCCGTCTCTAGTATGGAGGGCGGTACAGTCCCCAGTCATCTGCCTGACATTATCTTGGCATCATGGATCTGCCTCAAACCGCAAGAGCCGTCTGTCAGTGGGTGCCTCCCTCCCACATGCCTGAAGAAGGACCAGCAGCAGAGCTCGCAGACACAAGCCGTCTCTCCCTGCGCTGGTCCACATAAGCTGTCTTAGTGACACTTCCCACCTGCTGGGAGGGACACCGAGGGGGAGGGCACAGAAACCATGTCCAGCCTGCAGAGACGGTCTGTCCAGACCAGTGGCTCTCCCTGCGAGGCAGGGCCGGCTGGAGTGGCCCCCCTCACACAGCCTCATGGCCCAGCGGGCAGCCCTGGATGAGAGAGCCCCCTTCCCGGTCTCATGACAGGGTGGTGGGTAACCAGGTTCCCTAGAGATCGGCCCCTCAAGGTCCAGGCACCTGAGCCAGTATACTCATCGTCTGCCCCCGTCACGCTGGATCAGTTACAGAGGGTCCAGGCAGGGTTTCCTGCCCGATGGCCCCAGCCCAGGGCCCTATCCACATTTCCACTGGGGACACAGCATTTCACCCCAGCCGCGTCCGTGCCCTGTGGCAAAGAGTGGCCACTGCCCGGGCTCATGCGCATCTTGTTTTCTCCTCCAGGTTTCACCCCACCCCCCGGAGCCCATGCTGGCGGCCTCGCCCAGGATGCTCCTTCCCTCTTGCTCTGCAAAACCCCCAGGCTTGGGCCCAGGGACACCACTGTCCTCCCACCACCAGATGCAGCTCCTCCAGCAGCTCCTCCAGCAGCAGCAGCAGCAGACGCAAGTGGCTGTGGCCCAGGTTCTCCTCCACCTCCTCCCTACCTCTCAGGCTCCACTCTCATGGGCTTGACGCACCTTCCCTAGCAAGGGGAAAGGGGCAGGTTTAAAACCTAGGGAGCCAGAAGGGATCGCTCACGCTGTTGGATCATCGCTTATTAGGGAAGGGGGGAGGGGGGATGCAGTCGAACTGGAAGGAAACGCTGTGGTTTCCCGTGTATCCCCTGCTCTGAGTTGGGCTTGGCTGGCTTGGCTGGACATTGTTGGGTAAGGACTTGAGCTCACCAAGGAGCAGGGTGCACCCAATTCCACCCTCCCCTTCCTGCCTCATTTCCTGGTGTTTGGGGTGGGCAGGGGTGCCTCTGGAGTCAGGACAGGTGTGACTTTGTGCAACTGGTCTTGAAAGAGCTTAAAGTACAGCTTTGTGCAAAGACCACCCTGGCATCCTCCCCACCTTGTTCCCACAGGTCCCCACCCTCCATCACGTGGGTCCCCACCCTCCATCAACACTCTGCTGCTTCCAGGCAGGACGTGACAGTGTCCTGGCCTTGGCATTTGCTATAACAGGATCCAGCTCATATGACCATAGCTGCCATATTTGAGCCACAGGAAGACTGGCTTTGATCTTAGGAGGAAAGTGCTGTTTGAGCCCCAGAGGCTTGTCCCGCTGCTGCCTTCTTGAGGAGGGGGCAGCCGGTGTCTCTTGCTGCCTCTGGCAGCGATCCCTTCTGCTTGCTTTCCACGGAGGGCGTTATCGTCCCCGTCTTCCTTGGTCCTTGTGCATCTGAGGTTCATCTTCGCTGTGACCCATCAGGGAACAATGAGGACAGGATCGCTCCTACCGTTCATAGGCTAAATTCTGAGACCGAGGGACAGGTCAGGACCTGGGGGAGTAGAAGAGGACGGCAAGGAGGAAGAGGAGGACAGTGAAGCCTCCAGGACTGGGGGTTGGGGAGCGATCTAAGAAGGCAGCTCCATGTACTGGCCTCCTCGATGTGTGGGACTAGGCTGACCTGAAAGGTTTTCTGTGTTCTGGAACGGCCGGGAGCATTCTCCTCCAGGGAGCATTTACTGATCCCATCGATTCTCCTGCCTACTCTTCTCGAGACCCTTGGGTGGAGCGGTCGCCCAGACAGAGCTGTCCTTTCCCATATGTGCACCTTGAGAAGTTGCCAGCAACCTGCCCAGAGCCCGATCTGCTGTGACTTAGTTCTGAGAAGACCTTCCAACACGGTCTCACACAGAACGGGCCTGGGGCCCAAGGCTCACCAGAAGCCTTTGCAGGTTGGAGAGCATAGAATCAGTGGGGCATGGCTCTGAAATGATGTGAGCCTTTTAAAAAATTCTGACTGTGAAACAAAAGGACGTGGAGTGCTAATGCTAGGAGCGTTAGCAGGTGTTTCCAGAACAGCAAGAAAAAGGAAGGACTGCCGTTAATGGCCTCTCACACATGGGGGGAACATCACTGCTCTTTGTCAGGTAACAGAATTCATCTCGTCTCCTTAATGGTGATGTGGTAGTCCTGAGAGTCCCCTCCTCCCTAGGGTGCCAGGTGACAGGAGCACAAAGCCTGAGTGCCCCAGCACAGGGCCATTCCATGACTCACATCATCCCTGAAAGTTTCCCCTTGAATACAAATCCATTCTCCAACCATAATTCTTTTCTCTTTTGTCATATCAATTGCCAAGTAATTATTATTTATCTAAGAAAGGGCTTGATGCATATTCATGATGGATATTATCAGAGTCATTTGAATTTGAAGTCACTGCTAAATACTGAAGAGAAACGGTGTGCAGGTCTGTAATCTACACGACAAGAAGATTGTCGTGGTCGTCTATGCAAGCGTTCTGTCTGCAAAGCCACAAGACCTGGAATTTATTATGGCTTTGCCGCTGTTGGCATGAAACCCTAAGACGGGTTCTCTGGTACCAAATGGGGCCTCTGTCTTGGTGGGACAGCCCTGCCCTATGTCGATGGTCTCTCTCCTCGAAGACAATGAGTCTCGGTGCTTGCGGTTCACTTGTGGTGTAGCCCTTCTCCGTTCCGGTGTCTTCCACAGGCTGGGAGCCCTGAGCCTCTGACTCGTAGTCTGTGGGTGGCAGTTGGTGGCACCCTCGTTGACACCCGGTTCAGGCAGAGACATGACTGAAGGCCAGCGTAGCATGTCCATCCTGGGGAGGGGACGGGTAGGGTCTGGGACTTGCAGGATCTTTAGCTGGACAGGACTTCAAGGTCAGAGATGGCTTCTTGAACACACACCTCTCCCACTCTCTGGCCTCCCCAGGAGTAGGCTCTGGGCAGACTCGCCGTTGGCGTCTTTCTCTGCTGCCTGGAAACGCAGCAGTGGTAGGGTCGTATCCGAGGCTTCTGGCTCCTGTGTCCCCCGGCACACTCAGCCCTAAGCCTTTCTTCTGTTACGAGTTTCTCTGTATGTCCTCCTTCTCTCATTCTCTTTGTAGCACTGGATCCAAGGGCTTCCTGTTCACGTTCATGTCTCTGGGTAACAACAATCATAGAGGAGACAGAGGTAGATTAATAGGTCTTCTTGACATCCTTTGTGCATTTAAAACAGATCTGCTCTGGCACACTTGGTTTCTCCGTGTGGTGAGATTGATCTCAGTGTCCAGCATGAGGTCAGCTTTTAATCGTCTTGTCAAACTCTATTGCCACCAGACTGCAAGGTTTCTGTCATCTTCATTAAACTGCCAGTAGTCCCAGAATTCCCGTGGGCAGCGCTATGAGCTCAGCACTGCAGGTAGGATTGCATTTTCCTTTCCTCTGGGAACATCCGAGTCCTCCTGGGTAGAGCTAAGGATACAGAGTATCTTGCAAACAGGTGCACTCTTGGGGTCCTTTCTTGCATTGTTTATGCACCACCCCCCATTTACTGTCCTAGGCTATTCCCATTTGCTCTTATCCTGGGACCGGGCTTAGATCTCTCTCCTTCAAGGTGTTCTGATTTGGTCTAAGACCTTGAGATCTCTCCCAGACTCTCCCTAAATTGGTTCAGAGCTGGTCTAGAGGAACCTTCCCTGCCTTACGGGTATGGAGGAGATGGTGCTGCCCAGCCACTCAAACATTTCTAGCTCAGATTTCAGCATGTAAATAGTGAATACCCAAGCCCCCTTGACCGCTTTCTCGACCCAGCATGAGGCTTGCCTGGCTGCCCTGGCTTCCTGTTTCGAGTTGGGCCAGAAGTTCAAGGGTGTGAATGACCGTACAGACAAGCCTTGAACCCGAGCTGGGGCATAGCCAGCACCTGCATGGCCTTGTGCTGGGCCCGTCGAGGTCCAGAACTGGTCTGGGCACTGCGGCTGACCGGCAGGGGTGACGGGGGCCGGATTCCTTCCCAGCGTGCCACTGCGGGCTCGGCCTGTGCGTGCACTACTGCTGTTTAGAACTTCCTCCCTACCTGCTGCTACTCGCGCTTATTCTGAAACCCGTGATGGTTTCCTTGTGCTTCGCGATCGTGTGCGCTCTAGTTCGTTAGACAAACAGCACTGAACATACTCCCGCACCCCATCTCCAGGCCCTAGACTTCGCTCTTGTCCGCGTGGCTTCTCCTCGTCACCAGCACCCTGGGGGCCGCGCCTTGTGCATGCCGAGACAGCGCCGCCTGCCTCTGCTTGTGTGTCTGGTGGGGGGTGGGGGGGCAAATTGCTCTGGTTCTCTCCACGCCGTTTCCATGTGCCTGCTCCCTAACTTCAGCCTGGCCCTGCCCCTACTTCTCACGGAGGAGCTGGAGTCCAGGCAAGTAGGCTGGAGAGCGAGCGGGCGGCGGTCTGGTGTCGCCGGGTGGGCTGAGGGTGGGCGTCAGAGCCGGAGGGTGCAGGGCTGAGCCCCTCCTCCCCCACTCCGGCAATGGCCTTCCCGCTGACCTCGTCGGTGAGCGGAATAGCCCTTGCCCAAGACCCCTGTAGCCCTGGAAAGCAGAAGCGAACTCGTACCTTTTCTGAAATGAGTACGGCCTACTTTTTTGCAAAAGGTGTTTCATTCTTTGAAAGAACAGCATGCCGGACACGAATCACGGTCCTGTCTGGCAGGGCAGCGGGGCGTGGTGTCTGCGCTTGCTTCAGGATTGCGGAAGGGAGCCCACAGAGCCGGAGCAGGCGGCCCCAGCCAAAGCTGAAAATAACGCCGCCTTATTTCCGCGCTTCCAAGGCCAGACCCACGTGGGCAAAACCCGGGGACGAACACATCGTCTCCAGTTTAAAAGCAGCCCAGGCCGTTCTGTCTCTGCCTGGCCCGGCTGGGGTTCCCAGGGGCATGGAGAGCTGCTGGAGCCTCGTGCCTGCTCCCACCTCGGGCGGCCGCAGAAGCCAGCAGGCTCGTTCGCGCTGGCTGTACGCAGCAGCGTGTGCCTCCGCACTCCTGGGGTTGGAAAACACCTGAAATGTTCTAGCTCTGCACTTGCGAAGCAAAAATTCTGATGGAATCTGCACAAGGAGCACGCCGACCCGGGGGGCATTTTCTCATGGCTCTTAGTGCCAGACGGAAACGTTCGACTCAAGGGCCGGCTTTTCTGTTTGGACGGCGCCCTGCCCTGGGGAACTTGAGCACCTGCGAACGAAGGTCCCCATATTCTCCCGCACCCCTGCCCACCCCGGCTTCTGCAGGAGGGGATTCCCTTTGTGTCCCCAGTCACTAGGGGACACAAAGTGACACTAGGTGTCACTAGGGGATCTAGAGATTTTCTTCCCTGAGCCTTTGACGAGTGGCCCTGGTGCTGGAATCCTATGTTGCCTGGGCCTCTAGGCAGGCCCCTCCGTTGAGAGAGAAACTGAGGTCCAGGCAGAAGGGAATGACCTTCTGTGGCAGAGAGAGTCACCAGCGGTCTGGAACATTCCAGCTCCTGGTCTAGTGCTCTCAACTGGCTTGTCTGTTGGGATGTCCATGTGCAAGGGGCAAGGCTCCAAGTCCGTGGTGTGCGTGCCGGGAAGCCCCCTCCCGTAGGTGCCGGTTAGCAGGAGACGGAATTCTGTGCTTTTTCTGCTTATGCGCATTGAAAAATTCTGTTCCAAATTTCTGCCTAATGCTTCTGTTTCATTCCAAAGAAACTAGAAACTGGATAATGAACAACTCCACCTGCTCACTAGATCCCTTTCAATGATAGTCTTGATTGGAATCAGTCACATTACCAGATGGAAGGTGAAGGCTGGCCCTTCCTCAGGGGGACCCTTCCAGGAGCTTCCCACAGCAACTGTCCTGTTTCTCAGAACCAGGAAAATGCCCCGGGGCGGGGGTCTCAGGTGAAATATCTCCATGCCTCAGTTTCCAAAGAAGATAAAGGCTTAACAGCCGCTCACCATTTGATACCCAGATTAAAATGTTACTGTTGCTTCTTTCCCTCTTCTCATAACTCTCTAGATCTTTCCGTAGTTGATTCGGGGCAGCAAAGGAGGCTGATTTCTAAACTGAAACGTCAGTTGTGTCCGTAGCCTCACCTTGTGGAGGACAGACTCACTTTGCATTCCTTAGGCGTTCTACCCGGGGGCGAGACAGGCCCAGCCTTAGGAACCGCTAATGGAAAATGGCAACTAATCTCATTAGCGGCTCCCACTTAGAAGCAGAGGCAACTGCAAGGTCAGGTCCTCTAATCTGCCAGGAGGGAAGCTGCTGCCGCATCCAGCCGTGTGGTTCTCCAGGCTGGGCAGGTCCCTTGGCCAGACTACGGGTTGGATACAACCTGTTCCTCCCGGAGAAAATGCATCTCATCAGAGCCAACGGCTCTTTGGAAATCCAGAGCATTTGTTGTCTGAACCAGAATCGGCTCACCCTTCCTGCCCCTCTCCTGCCCCACCTGCCCCACCCCAGTCATCCTGCTTCTGACTTTGTCCACACCGTAGTTGTAGTCCAAGGAAGCCTCTTACCCGTAAGTTGCCTTGGTCTGAGCCAAATTCATTAGCTCCTTTTCTTCAGGGACCTTCTAAAACCCTCCATGAGACCCCCTTATCCACCACTTAGAGCAAGAATCTCATGTGCATGAACATGGCTGTTGCCTTGTGACTCAGTTTCTTCAAGCCAGGCTCCTGACACAATCACCCCCCCATCTCCCGCTGTGTTTTCTCTCTATACCTTGTTAAGCACCGAGAACAGACCCCCGACCCAGGGTCCCGAGCAGACTGGGTGCACCATTGCCAGCTGCTCCCCTGTGAGAGGAGAGTGGATGGAGGTCCCCCTCTTCCCACAGGATCCCCCTCTTCTGTGAGCCGCTGGCTTCCACCCTTCCAGGTTCGTGGGAGGAGGCCCTCCTGTGAACCAGTCAGCAGATGTTTGACCGCTAGCAGGTGTAAAGCACCTGGAAATGAAGAGGGATGGACAGTCAGGGAAAGAAAGTGGCCCCCCAGAGGCGAGAGTGCAGAGTTTATTATGACCCCTACACTAGGGAAGGGCATCTGTGGGGCTTCCTGCTTCCTATTCCATGTGGGCCCCAGGAAGGGGAGAGGAAAGGCCACTTCGGGGTTGCTGTGACTCTCTTCTTAGCTACTGGGCCCGTATATCCATTTCTGTTTTTCCCTTTTAAAATACACGAGGAGAAGAAGTTCCTTCCCTCCACATGGCAGGAACGCGTTCACCGTCAAGACACTCTCCTGGCAGGGCTTGGGGGTCAGAGGCTGGGGCTCGGCTTATGCGTACCTCTTGCTCTGGGTGCTGGGCCCTGAGGGGTCTGTGAGTGACCCACCATGGCCCTCACTGGGGACATTCAGAGAGACCCCTGGTCCAGCAACCCAGCTTCTTAGGGCTGCTTCTCTGAATTCCAAGCCCAGGTCCCCACTCCACCACGGAAGGGCTTCTTTGTGCTGAGTCGAACATGGCAGGTGTCTCTGGTCCCCGGGGAACCCCGGTGACTCCTGGGTGCATTCATGGCCCTCTCCTCTCTGTCCCGTCCTCTCCGTCTTCTCCGCCTCCCGTCTGCAGGTTCACTTGCTGAAGGACCAGCTGGCTGCCGAAGCGGCCGCGCGGCTGGAGGCACAGGCCCGCGTGCACCAGCTCCTGCTGCAGAATAAGGACCTGCTGCAGCACATCTCTCTGCTGGTCAAGCAGGTGCAGGAGCTGGAGCTGAAGCTGTCGGGACAGAACGCCAGTAAGTGGAGGCCCCGCCCAGCCTCTCTTCCCTCCGTGGGGGCTCTGGAAAACGCCTCTTCTTCTCCCTGAAGCTCTTGGTGGCGTTTTCTTAGGCCCCTGCCCTGCCCTGGTATTCTAGCGGAAGACAGAGGCGGCTCCATTTGTCCTGTCCGTACAGTTCATGGAACAGCGAAAGAGCAGAGTCAGAGAGGAGCTTGGCTCCTTCTAGCCCAGGCTTGACCTTGAACGTCCCTGGGAGTCCCTGCCACATGTTCATCCAGGCTCCTCTCGAAAGGGGCTCAGACACTCCACGTCCTAATAAGGCAGTCTGTTTCTTTCTTCGTGGGCTTTTCCAATGGAAACAGGCTGAGCACCTGTCGGGTGTCATGCTGCCTGGGGGCTCCGTGGGAGACCTCACACTGTACGCGAGCTTACCCTCCCCCGCGCTGTAGAGTTTACAACTCTAGCCTCGAACATGCTAGTAGCAGGTGTCTGCTCTGCGCATAGAAAAGAACTGGCCAGATAGCATGGCTGGTTCTGGGCAGAGGTTGCCTGGCGCCCGGCCTGAGATGCTTGGCCGCCTCCGGGCTGGCCTGGGAGGTTCAAGAAGGCAGCACATTGCCAGGCCTCCCTCGTGCTGACCCGTGGCCTGGTATGTGCTGGTCACAGAGCCACTGGCCATCTACCGTGCCAGAGGCTGTGATAGAATTTCACGGACAGGATGTCGTCTAACCCCCAGAGTCGCAGATGTTATGCCCATTTCGTACATGAGAGAGTCGCAAACAGGTGAAGGCAGCTCAAGGTTCCAGAACCAGCAAGGTGTGGGGCCAAGATTCAAACCTGGGTCTGACGGCAAAACGAATGTGTCTCTTGTGAGACCAGTAATTCCTCAGCCTGTCCCCTATAGCTTTTTTAAAAAATGAATATTCCCAAGTCCAGCCCATTGAGGTCATGATCAGTAGGTCTGGGCAGGGCCGGGACTCTTGCTTTAAGCGGCATGAAGGTACAGATTGGGAACAGCCCCTGCATTTTGCCGCTGGAAGCCTCTCTGGGCTTCCGTCTCTGCTTACAGAGACCCTGCTCTGGCTCTCTCGGTTTGTACCCAGCTTGTGTCCCCCCACACACACACCCCCGCTCCTGGCTGCCTTGCTAACCCGGGCTGCTGTGCTCTTGTCCCCCCTCCAGTGGGCTCCCAGGACAGCTTGCTGGAGATCACCTTCCGCTCCGGAGGTCTGCCGGTGCTCTGCGACCCCACCACCCCGCAGCCAGAGGACCTGCCCTCACCGCCCCCGGGCGCGGGCCTGGCCGAGCTGGCCCATCCCGCCGGCAGCCCCCTAGGTAGGCGTGACTGCCTGGTGAAGCTGGAGTGCTTCCGCTTTTTGCCGCCGCCTGCGGGCCCGCTGCTGGGGGGCCTGGAGCTCCTCAAGTTCCGCGAGTCGGGCATCGCCTCGGAGTACGAGTCCAACACGGACGAGAGCGAGGAGCGTGACTCGTGGTCCCAGGAGGAGCTGCCGCGTCTGCTCAACGTCCTGCAGAGGCAGGAGCTGGGCGACAGCCTGGACGATGAGATCGCCGTGTAGGGCGGGCCGCGGCGCGGGGCTGGGCCGGGTGCAGGGCCGGAGGGGCGCGGGGCCGGGCGCACCGCCGAGGATGCCCGCGTGGTGGAGGGCGGTGAGTGCCGGGAGGACGAGCGACTTTGGCTCCAGCCAGGGGCCCCAGAGAGCCTGTGGTTTCAGGAAAGAATTACGACTCTGCTTTGGAGGGTCCGATGGGGGAGAACTGGGACTCCCAGAGGCGAGTGGGCCCCTCTCTCCCACTTGTGACTTGGGAGGGGAGGGCAGGGCCTTCCAGAGCTGGTGGCTTCGGGAGAGGGTCCCTCGTACGGATCGCCAGGCTGCCCGAGGACCTGCCATGTGCGGGCTGTTTCATCAGGCTCCTCCGCTCTGTCCCATCCGGGGTGGCCCGGGGAGCCCCCTTCCGCCCCATCTCTCGATCCCACGGCAAAGGGAAGCCATCAGGTGCCAGCTCAGGTCCTGTGTGTCTGGATATCCAGGATGTTACCGGTTGCCTAACCCTCCCCTGACTTTCTGGAAGGAATTCCTTCTCTAGGCCGTTGTGGGGATGACAGAGGTTGAATGCCCCGGTGGTAAGGGACGGGGTGGAGCTGCCAGCACAATCATGGAATTGGGATGTTTCATGTCGGGTAAGCTCTGGGATGACTTGAACCTGGACGTTTGCTCAAGCTGGATGTGAGGTGTTACTTCCGAGGGAGACTGGGAGTTGGACATCGTTCAGGCCCTTGCGGTGCAAGCCCTGGGGGAGGGCAGCCCCTTTGGGGCCCCAGATGATGTTGGTCCAATTCCTCAGTGTGGGAGGCCCCCTCCCCGCCCCGTCCTGCCTGCAAGCCCAGCTCCTCCGCGTGGAGGCTGCCTCCTTCTCCCTTCCGTGTCTTGCCTCAGGGTCCATGTCGGCCAAGGCTTGTACAGCATCCTCCCCTCGGAGAAAGCCCCCAAGCCCCCGGCCTTACCTCTCAACCCATCCCCTCCACTGGGCATTAGTGGTCAGCGTTTACTGCAGGGAAAAAACCAAACGCGAGCTGGTAGCTGAGACTGTTTCTTTCCACTCTTCAGAATCACTGCCACTTTGGTCAGGGACCACAGCCCTGTCCCCCCTTGACCCGTCTTGGACCATCCAGGCCTTGTCTAGAGAATGCCATCTCGGCCGGCTAGCCAACCATGGCAGGGAGGCCATGCTCCCTTTGTGACAGTCAGGCCACGAGTGGCTGTTAGCAGATTTAAAGCTGCCTCGAGAGAGAGCCGAGCCATCGCTAGGGTCTTGTGTGTGGGGAAGTAAGTCTTCAACCCGGATGAACAACAGACCCAGACAGCAGTATTCTGTGAGGATTCGGTGGTAAGGATGGGGTTGCCCAAAACACAGTGTTTTTCAACCCCGACCTTGCTTTATAATTTATAGATATAAAGTGTAGCCCTTTTTCTTAAATAGCTGGGTTTCTTCTACACTAGAAAGTCCAAAGGAAAGGAAATACACGTAGCTTTATGGTGGCCTTCCTGGGCACACCAGGGTATTGGCAGAAAGAGGATGGTGTGTGGACGGATGTGTGCGCGCACGTGTGTACAGATAGGCTTGTATACCCGCGTGAGGGAAGGTGAGTACGTGTGTGTGGGTGTGTGAGAAGTGACCGGAGAGAAGAGAGTGTGGATCTTCAGGGCGTTTGGACGACAGCAGAGTTGTGTTGTTTTTCCTAACAGTGTATTTATTTGGAGAGGGGTGGTTCTGTTTATTTCGCTGTCTTTTCGAATTAGCCGTTGGATGGAATAGGTCCAGATACACAAGGAAGAAGCAGGAAGGTGAGAGCCCCAGACTGAAGGAGGTGTTGGGAATCCGGTGTGCCTGAGCCGGCTTCCTAGACCTTCCCCTGGGTGCGGCCTCTCTGAGCGGCTTCTCTGGAGTGTTCGGGACTGTGGAAGGTCTGGCTTCTCGGGCAGCTGCGTGTAAGCAGGAGCCCAGCGTGAAGCCACTGGATTTGTGGAATGTGGCAGGAGAGGGAGGGCTGGGGTGGGGAAGGGCGAGGTGGGTGGGGAGTAGTTTCGGAAGGGTTTAGAGAAGCTTGCAGAGGGAAAGAAGAAAGGGAATTTAGGAGAGAGTAGGGATTTGAAGAGGCTGTTTGTACCGCTGGCTCCGGACCCATCCCGGACCCTTGCCCTCGGATGCTCCGCGGTGGTTTCCAGCTGCCTCAGCCCCAGCCTCCCCGCAGAGGGGGTCTCCCCTGGAGCGCTGGTTTGCGTGTCTGCACCGTCCCCAGTGTGCCTGGGGTGTGGCGACGGGAGACAGGATGGAACTAGGGGCCTTGACGGGTCACCAGCCACCGGGCAGAACAGAGAACAGTGCAGACCTGATTTCCCAGCGACGTCACCCTCTCCTCCCTCCTTGCTTCTTGCTTCGCTCACTCAGCCGCTGCCTTCCTCCTTTTTCAACTTTCTGCTCTGCCCTGTAGACAGGACAAGTGGACACGGGGGGCGCCTACCCTATTGGTGCCTGCCTCAGCCCCCTCCCAGGGGCCGGCAGAGTCCTGGGCACGTGAGGCTCTCCCAGGTGCAGAGCCAGCAAAGAATTTCTCTGCACAGAACAGACTGCGTGTTGGGATGAAAATGATACTCCTGTCCCTGCTTCTACCAACGCTCTCTGTGAAGTCCCTCCGTAGCTTTCCTTCTCCCCAAGGCTCCTGTTCAGCACTTGTGTTCCTTTGATTTCCTCTTCGCCTGACCGCCTCCTCTCACCCCCCCAACCCCGAGCCCTCTGCTTCCTGAAACTCTTGTCATTAACTCTGTCGGTTCAACTCTCTGGGACAAGATTCTGTTCATGTAAAGTGCACTTACTCCCTGGATGTTGTCACTAGTCTAGTGGCTTTTGCTAAATAAACCTTTCTTATTTCTAAAAGCTTTTCCATGGTCTTTTCTTGCTGCTTCTATCTGCTCCCTGACTTGCCCTCACTTCCACCCCACTTCCCAAGCCAGCGGCCATCAGCTCTGCGAGCCACTGTTCTGAGAGGCGGTGGTGGTCAGAAAACGGGGGAGGAAGGTGGTGGCTTCAGGTGCGATTTAGCTAGACCAGCCTTGCTCATCAGGAGGCTGTGCCGTGGTTTTCCAGGGACAGTGTGGCTTCCCCGGGGGGACATTCGGTGGTGTCTGGAGACAGTTTCGGTTTGACCGAACTGGGGGAAGGATGCGTTTGATAATTAGTGGGTAGAAGCCAGGGACATTGCTAAACATCCTACACACACAGGAGAACCCCCCCACCCCCCAAGAGAGAATCATCCGGCCCCAAATGTCAGTAGTCCCGAGGTTCAGAGGCTCTGGGCTCCTGCCTGCTTCCAGACTCTCCCAAGCCTGGGTCTTTTCACGCTGCAGAGTGAGTGCTTGAAAATTTTGAGGGCTTGAAAAAGTATGACATCGTAGATATTTCCAGCTATAACTAAGATCATCTAGATCATAAAATTTCTTGGACTCCCTGACTAAATGTCTGAACTACGCAGTAGGTACGATTCCGAACGGCCCCGTTCCTGAAATGCCCATCCCGGAGTCAAAACGGGCTCGTCCCCACACCTGGCCGCAGGCATGGTGGTGCCCTTGTCGCTCGGCTCGGCAGAGGGGTGCTGGCTCACGGGAACTTGGCCTTCCTGCCAGGAGGCATCACGAAAGGGAGGAAGGCTAGCGAGGGAAGATCATCAGAGAGATAGAAGCTGCAGGATTTCGAAACCCGACATCATGGAAACCAGTTTACTTTGGCCAGGACGTTTAGCCCCCTCGAAGGCAGGGGCCCTGCTGGCCTGGTACTTTGTCAGGCGCAGCCAACTCTGCAGGAAGGCTGAGAGGATCTGATCAACCCTTTGCCCCTTTTCTGAGTGAGGGAACTGAGCCTCATTTTTCTCATCTGTAAAATGGGGACGAAACAGACCACGTAAAGCGGTAATGACGAGTAAATGAGCTGGCATTTTCCGAGCATCGAGCAAAGCGCCTGGCAGGGGCTCAGGGCACCACAGAGCTTACCTGCTAGTTGATTGGGGTGGGGGAGGTGTGCCCATGTGGTCTGTGCCTTTGTGGGCTGTGTGCATTTCCTGCGTGCTGAAACTTCCCTCGGAACTCTGAACTGAGAAAGTCCCTGAGGTTCCCAATGATGCTGGTAAATGTGTGAGAGGCAGAGAGCGCCTAACCTCACACGACACTCCAGCCCCTGCCAGGCAGTCGGCACGTGCTGTGACCCCCCTGCTCGGACCCCGGCTGCAGGATGGCTTGCTGTCTTTAACGGGCTCCGTGCCTGGGACACATATACCCTGCAAGAGGGAATGGGGGTTGGGCAGGTGGTGTGAGGCCAGACAAGAGCCGAGTCATCCTGATTCCCCCACAGACTGAAGGAAGGCCACGAGGCCCCCATGTGAGCCCATCCTCTTGCTCCCTTCTCAAGGGCCCCACCAAGGGGATCCACGTGTGCGGGATTGCACGGAAGGGGAGGTCTTCAGGGGCGTAGGTGACTTTTGCATTTTGGGAAACAGGAAATCAGAGTGAGGACCCCTCTGCTACCCTCCCCTGAGAGGTCCTGGGGGTGACGTCAGGGCTCCCCAGAGAGACCACCCACCCTAGAGTGGGCAGGCTGGGGGTTTGGAGCCCACAGTACAAGTACCCTCTTGGACTCTGGCTGGGATGGTAGCAGGTGGGGAGAGAGCGAGTGGGGAAGGGTCCCGCCACGTGGGACGTGATGGGATTCGAGCCCAGCCTCTCACAAAAGAACCATGACCGGCATTTTAGCAGGACAGGGATAAGCAGAAGCAGGCCTGCTGAAGCAGAAAGCAGAGGCCTCACTGTGGGGTCACTGGAAGGGCAAGGGGCAATCTTCCACCCCAACCTGTTGGCCAACTGGGGGCTGGGGGAAGGCCGAGGTAAAGGGAGGCTTGGTGTTGGGGGCCCCGGAAAAGGAGATGCCCCACAGCGGTGAGAGGGCCCCCTTGGGGCATTAGGGAGGTGAAATGAGAGGTAAATAAGGCCTAAAAATAAGACCATTGAGCATTCAGCTCTCTTTTCTTTTTTAAAACCACGTAATGGGTAAGATAGATGTCCTCCCTGCATCCCTGGTGTTCAGCCACGTTTCTGGGTCAGAGCTGGTAGTGAGGCCGCCTCGGAAATGGGTTGTCCGTCGGGGCTGCCCGCTGCTGCGCTCCTCGGTGACGGGAAGCCGCGTTTTCACACGTGTCCCTGCCTGTTTGCCATGACGCAGCTCAGCCAGGTACGGATGCCCCCCAGGTCAGAAGCAAGTCTGCTGTGCTTCAGCAAGCGTGCCTCTTCCAAGTGAAGGGTTGTGGGGCACGTGGTGGGGGTGCACCCGGCCCCACGTGCCTCTTTCCTGCCTTATGCAGGGGGCCGTGTGGTCCTCCCTGTTCCTCCCCTCGGGAGATCTAACAGCCAAGAAGCTTTCAGAGCGCACAGAGGTGCTGTGAGGCGGAGGGGCGAGCCTCCCTGTGCCCGCAGTAAAGGGCGTTCACTCTCCTCCCCTCCGGCCGAGCTGTCCCGCAGGGGAACCACTGGGGGACCCGCCAGTAAGCCAGCGTCTTCGAGGAGCGATCTCATGCTTGCGCTGCCCCAGAATCACCTAGAAGGTAGCTGAGAGCCCAATGGCCAGGCTCCCTCCCGCCCCCACCGAGTTTCTGATTCAGAGAATCTGAGATTTCATTTCTAGCAGATTCTTAGGGGATGCTGACGCTGCTGATCTGGGCACCTCACTTTGCAAAGTGCCCCAGAGAGGCTCTTCTCAAACTTGAGGAGGAGAGGGGAAGGGAAGGCGGGAGGGGCGGCGCGGGGGACCTGCTGTTGCTCAGCAACCGTTCGCCAAAGGGGGCATGGGATGGGGACCGGAAGGACCACAGGTGATCCCGGTGACCCGGGACTTGGCAGAAGGCTGTGACTCACTTGGCTTTATTGACATCTCTCTGGAGGCACGAACGGGCTTCCTTCCCGCTTTACCTGAGGCGCCCACTAACGGGACAGCTGCCACCGCCAGCCCCCACCCCCAACCAGGCTACTTAAAGGCCTGGCAGTTGCCTGAGGAGAGCCGGTCCCCAGGCCGGGCCGTCTGCTCCTTGCCCCAGAGGGTTTTGAGCTTGCGGTAGTACACCCTGCAGCTGAAGCCCTCCCTGAAGCCCCCCTTGATGTGGCTCTTGAGGGAGTGCAGAGTGGGGTACATGCGGCAGCAGGCCGCACACTTGTAGCCGCTCTGCTGGGCCGGGTGCCACCTGGAGGCCGTGAGAATGTCCTGGGACGTGATGTAGTCCGTGGAGGCCAGGCCATGCCTAGACGTCTTGCTGGCCTCTCGGGGGCAGGTGTTCTCTGGGGAGGAAGAGGACGAGCAGATGCTCTCAGCCAGGTCCTCGGGAAGGCAGCTGTCCCCCCTGCCCTCGTCCCGCTGCACCTCCAGGAAGCTGTAGGCCTCCAGGTGGCTCTCCTGGTCTGTGCAGACAAAGTAGCTGTAAGGGGAGAACCAGGGCCGGTAGATGGTGCAGTTCCGCCTCAGCTGCTCCCCGTTCTGGGGGTCCCTCAAAATGCAGTCTGTGGAGGAAAGGGTCGGGTTTGAGCACAAGGCCCCAGGGGGCCGGGGTGCGGGGGCCGGGAGAAGCAGAAAGGCAAGAGGCCATGAGTCAGGTGTGGTCCAAGGGTCTCCCCCTGCGCCCCCTCGACTGCAGTTCTGAGAGTAAGCAGGAGTCGGGGTGGCGAGAGCCGCCCAAGACCCTCCTTCCTCCACTCCCACCAGCGGCAGTTGGGTGTCGGGGGTAGAGACCACTTGCATTCACTAAGCCTTGGCCTTGGCCAGGTGCTTCTACCCCGACGGACACCTCGCCTCCCCTTCCTCTAAGGGCGGGCAGGTGGCTCAGTGGCTCCCCAGAGCCCCTTTCCCACACCCCGTGGCCACGGCCATTGTCCCAGCCTCCCTGTCTGCCTGCCCGCAACAGCCCACCCCAGGCGGAAGCTGCAGTTTCACCCCCAGCTCGGGAGACCGGCCTGTGGGGGCCTGTGGGGGCCTGCGGGGGCCTGCGGAAGGGAGGACCAGGAAGGCGAGGACAGGGCGGGGGGAAGCACCCTTCCTGTAGGGGAGCAGCCCTGCCCCTCCCGCTTCTCACAGGGGCCTGCCCAAGGCAGAGAAGGTCTCACCTGGAGAGAACCCCAGGTTCTGCACCCCGAGCCGGAACGCACTGCTGTGGTACAGGGCTGGCAGGGCCTGAGCTGGGCTGGACGCCTCGGAGGGTAGCGCAGTCTTTGCAATGTCTGGGTTAGGGAAGAAACGCTCTGGTGAGCTGCGCGAGGCTGGGAGTCCTCTTCTTGGTGACCAACCCCCCAAGACGTACCTAGAGGCTCTACCTTGGTACTTTATGACATTGCAAAGCTGAAGACAAACAGCGCCCTCTTTTGCACCCAGAGAAGCAGAACTATTCTGGGTGGCGTCCTGGGGAAATCCAAATGGGGCATTTTCATGGAGATCTGGGAAAGATTCTCTCCACAGGAGAATTTTAGATACAGACCAGATGACCGCTTTCTGCCCTGCCCATCTTTCTCTTGACCTTCCTGCAGCTTGGTTTGTGTGTGTACTTGTGTGTGTGTGTGTGTGTGTGTCTGTCTGTCTGTCTGTCCGTCTGTTCCAGCCTCAAAGCTTCCTCTGGGATCCAGGGGAGGGAGTCTGGTCACAGATCACATAGCTATATTACATAAAGCTATGTGGTTTCTCCAACTGAAAGCATTTCCCGCCCACAGCCCAGGAGTGTTCAGGTGGACTCTGGCCGTGTGAACACGCTGATGGCTGCTAACACTTGGTAAAAAGCCAGCCTGCCTCCACTCCCAGAGTGGAACCAGAGCTCAGTCTGGGAAGCCACTGTGTAAGGGTCCTCTGGACAGGCACATGGGTGTTTAGGAGAGCTGGCTGTCCTCCTCCAGCTGTAACGGGCACACCTCTCCAGAAACCACCCGGAAGCCTGTTACCCATGCAGGTTCCTATTCAGCAGGTCTGGGGGCAGTCTGAGCTCCTGCATTGCTAACAAGCTCCCAGGTGAGGCCCACAGGGAAGCCCGCAGACCACACTGGGAACAGCGGGTCCTTAGACAGTCCATCTCAATTCCCTGCTGTGCTCCTCTGGCACCCTGCCTCCTAGGTTGCTACTGATGGGGTGGGAAGCCTGTCTCTTCTCCGGCTTATCCCAGCAGGGCTTCAGCAAGTCCCTGCCCTACAGAGACAGTCACCTGAGATTCTAGAGGGAAAGAAAAACTGGACAACAAATGTATTCCCCCATCCTTCCCTTGCCAGAAATGAATAAACATCAGGAACTACTTACCATGAATGCAGCATTTTGAAAAATTATTTTCTCCCCATGTGTAATTCGACTTTCTCACTAAATCGTAGTCCTGTAACATGATCTGGTAGAGTACTCAAAAGCTTCCAAAAAAACCACATTTGTGTGGCCCTAGTGGCACCAGAATTTACCTGGCAAGCTGGTGGCGTGTGAGGACATAATGTCAGGAAAAGTGCTCAGGGCTGAGGAAGAGATTCGAGGTCCAGAAATGCTGAGGAGTGAGAAGTTCTCCATGTTCGGACTACCGTCGGGTATGGAGATCACACATCTGCTCCCCGGAGGCTGGTTGGGTTGTCCAGACGATGAACATTCTCAGTACAGTTGACATCACAAGAGGGTCCCATGATTCCACTCGCTGGCCAGGCCGTCCCTTTCAAAGACGGGTGGAGTCTCTTAAATTTTAGAAAGAGTTTTTTGGACTTGTCATCCCTCATCAACCTGCCTCGATTGAGAATGCCCAGGGGGAAGGAAGCCTGTGGCAGAGATGCGACCACGATGTAATCTGTTGACTCCCATCCCGTTGATCTTTGGTGTCCTTTTGTGTCCTTGCTCTCACCAACCCCCAACTCTGGGGACCTCTGTCCTCTCTGAATAAGCTTCTTGCTCAGCTTCTCCTTCATCTGCCTCACCTCTGCTATCAGGTGTTTTTGTTCTTTCTGCTACTGAGTTTGGAGTATAATTTTTACATTTTCTCTGGAAATCGTTTAAAAGTGGCAAAAAGTTGCAAAACTAAAACCAATTGTTGTGCATTCTGTATCCGGGTTTTCCTATTGTTAACATTTCGCCCCGTTTGCTTTGTCAACCCCCTCCCTCCGCCCCACACTTGGCTTGCTGAGCTATTCCAAGGTAAGTTACAAGCATCATGGCCCTTTGTGCCTAAATACTTCCGGGCACTGCCTAATAGGGACCAGGTAACATTTTAAACGGTGGTGTTGTCTGTTTTTAGCAAATGACTACAACATAAGCAGGCAGCTTACTCAACACCATTTTCTCCTTATGAGCAGTTTGCCGAGGGACTGAACTCCAAGTGGCCAGGTTGCTTCTTCTCTCTGCTTCGCTTCTGTCCTACCCCAGCCTAGCCTGCTGCAGGCGGGGTTGGGGGGTGGTGGGTAAGGGTGAAAGGTGATCCCTCCATTTTGAAGATAAGCTCCGTTGTAGAGCGTCACAACAGGTGCAGACTAGGTACAGAGAGTGCATTTGATCGAACTGTGCAGCTGCTTGGGCTGCGTGGAGACACGTGGCCCGGTCATGGTGCACGTGCATGCGTGCGTGAGCTTCCAGGTGTGAGAGCCCAGAGTCGTCTTCCTGTTGGTGTCTGCCTGCAGGACTTCAACGTTGCAGGACAGGGTGGAGAACCTCACTGCCTCCCGCAGAGCCTGGCTTGGAGACTTAGAAGGCGTTGGAATTTAGTGGACACCATGGACTTGGGCAGCTTTGAGGGAATTGGTGGTTTGATTAGATCTTGTGGTGCAGAGGAAGATCCTGGGGTCCGGGGAGCTGGTGTGCGTGAGTTCTCACCCCACTCTGCCGTTAGCGACCTGTGCAGCATCAGACCTCCCTGCCACCGTGTCCTCTTATTTTACTCATTTAGATGCTTGGAATGGTCTAAACCCGGGTGGTTTGTGTGCAGAAATGGGACAGGAGAGTAATGAGCGATGCACACAGGATCCAGAAGATTTTGAATTTCATCCTGCAGGAGTGGGAGGGGGGGGTCATTGAATTCTTTCCACTGCCAGCTTGAGAACATCAGACACACTTCCTATAAAGGGGGCTCAGAATACTGAGGAACACACACGAAGCTGCCTCGGTGCCTGTTTTTAGAGTTTTTAAAAACCAGATACTTCCGGTCTTGGGATTGAAGAGTTTGTGGGAACCTGCTTGTCCAGGGTTTTCTCGCATGTTATACCCTCCTGGTATGTTGTTGCTGGTGGCCGGGGGCAGGAGGTGACAGTCCCAGAGTGGTCGGCCACTACATAAAATGTGTCTCTCTCTCGTTTGCTTCCCACCTGCTTTCCGAGCCCCTTTCTCGGACAGGTAAGAGACCGTCTTTCTGATGGACGACGTACGTCACAGATGCTTGGCTCTGCTCGGACATGTGCATGTGGGGGTGTCGTGGGGTGAGCCACCAGGTTGGGCAATCATTGTTTTTCTTTCCATCGTCATCATTACATTCTGAACCACCCCACGTCTAGTCCAGGGGGAAGGACGGAGTGTGGGGGTCGTTAGTGCCATCAGCAGGAAAGGTGCTCATGGCACACCAGAGGGTGTGGAAGCAGAGGAAGCCCCCGCCAGAGCCCTACGTCCGAGAGCAGACCACTTGTTCCCGGGCTGACCTCGGCAGAGGAGGTTATGAGTGGCTTCTGTAAATGGTAAAGCCTCGGGAACAGTTTCTCTACACCGTCTGCCCGTAATGTGGTCAGGTTTTAAGGATTCCTCTCAAAAGCCCATTCGATTAAGCCAAACTTACTAAATGGCCAACTCCTGTGCCGAGTGCTCCAGAAAGTTTAAAAAAAAAAAAAAAAGTCACTGGGGATACTGCGTCTCCTCCAGGAGCTCCCCACTTGGTTTTCAAGACGAGGTGCGTTGGCCAGAAAGACACAGGGAATTGCAAAGAACACATAGGACAGGTTTTCTTTAAATTACTGAAGAATTCAGCGTAGACATTTGGGAAGGTAGCGGGCAAGAAGTACAGGAAATCTACAGTGGGGCGTGATCCTGTAGTTGTGCTTATTAGGAAGTTTTTCAGATAAGAGGAGCTCACAGTTCACGAGTCACTTGGGGTTTGTTTTGGTTACTTACACTTGCAGAAATGAGGTTTGCTCTGTACATTTACCTGACACCAGTAAGGAGACGGGCTTGGATGCATCAGAGTCAGGAAGGGGCAGGGGTGGGAGGGGGGTGTGCCTTCCCCAGCCAGCCTCTTTGGGACACTTGCCCTGGTTTCATGGTGGCCCAAATACACTTGCTGGTTTGGAGGGAAATAGTTAAATGCTTTCATGGCCAAGGGCTTCTCTGCAAGTCCACAGATTTTACGATTAAAGAAAAGCTAGGATACAGGACGCGATAGAGAAAGCATGCAGAAGTGGGTGATGGTGTGGCGAGATAGCGCTCTTCGTAGTCACAGGAGCTGATGACCCCATTGGGGGCTGGGCTGGAAGTCCTGCTGGTGCGCTGTGGCCACACCTGGAGCCCAGGCCGCCTCACCCAGTCAGCTCTGTGCCCCAGGCCCCGGGGTGGTTCTACCCCAGTTCCCTAGCACGGGCCCCACTGTGGTGCCTTCCCTGTGCGCAGCAGACGCATAGACCTGGGGGGTGGGGTTCGTCCGCTCCGCTCCCTGCAGCTTCCTGCTGCCGCCCAAAGACCTTTACAGGAGGGCTTCTCTAGCTCGGGCGCAGAAGGGGTATGTCTGCTGAAACCGCAGTAAAGGGAAATGCACCCCCGGGACGGGGACTCAGCAGTGCAGGGCAGAGAGACCTACTTGATGCCAAATTCAACAGAAGCAGCAGCGCACCCCAAACTCACTCACTCTTGGGAAGGCTCAGCGTGCGCAGGCACTTGGAGATGGAGACCAAGAACAAAGTCTGTGCTCAAGTGTTACCTCTTCTTCCCCCAGATCGGCAGAGTATCTAGAGTGGGTGGTAGGGACAGAAACCTCACGTGTGCCTCCAAGGCCCCAAAGAATGGATCTGTCTTTGGAGGATGGAGCTTGACTTCCCAGTGGGGGAGGACACCCTGATACGAGCGTGTGGACGGTGTGGCTTAAAGCCCCAAGAACCATTCATTCCAGTGACAACCCTTGGAGCTATGATCTTGACCTCTATGGTTCTCCCATCTGCAGAATGGGTCTGGCAGTTCGAGAGATTTATTGAGCACCTTCTGTATACCCGACCAAGCTAGCTGTTAAGGATACGAAGGTGAATGAGATGTGGCCTTGTTCACAGCCTGGTGGGTCTACCTGCCACCCTTGGAGTTAGTCCTTCAGACTGAAGTTGGGGAGAGAAGGGCCGTCTCTGAGGCTGCTCTTGCATGACGCCAGGCCACGGGAAGTCTGTGGAGAGGGTGAGAACGGCAGAGTTCTTGTTCAGCCCCTCCAGTCATGGCCCTGTGACCTCAGGCCCAGCAGACAGTTCTTCTCGTCCATAAGTAGGATTCCTCCCATGGCGCAGCTCGCTGGCTGGCCGTGAGCCTGCGGTCAGGCTCCTCCTGCTCCCCTGGGTGTCAAGGCTTCGACATGAGCCGGTCCGGAGCCCCCACCCGGCATCTCTGCACCCAGCCGCCCATGCTCCCACGTTCCTCTTCAGGAGAAAGGGGGCCTGTTTTCCCACAGAGAGAATGTGCCCCACGGGTGGCCTTCAGCGGGGAGCTTCCCACGCGAGCCTCCTCCAGCTTTGGCCCCTGTGCCAGCGTCTGCTCAGCTGTGTTCACAGTGACAGAAAATACCATAGTTCATTTCTTCGTTATTTTTTCTTCAGAGGGCTTGGTGGCCCCAAGGTCAGGGGTCAAGCCAGGAGTCAAGGAGGCAGGTGTAAAGGGATAAATTGGGGGGAAGTGGTAGGTTTAAGGCTGGAGCTTGTCACCAATGGACCGGGCGGGGTGGAGCTGGAATGGCTCGTCCCACATCCCATCTGGAAAACCCACGCAGAAGGGTTGAGAGCGTCTCTGCGGGTTCTCCCCCGAGTGTTTCCAAAGCCTGGGGCAGTGACAGCTGTGGGTGTGGTGTGCGGGCAAGAGGCCGAGCGACCCATCCCCGCTCACCGCAGCCCTCTTCCCCTCTGTTTGCAGTGGACCACGGCATGTTCGAGAACGTGAACGCCGCCCACGCCCCGAAGCTGCAGCCCAGCTGCTCCTTCCCCCACCTGTCCCGGCTGGCGGCCCCCAGCTCGGCCGCCCAGGGGTCGGGGGTCTGGGTGGGCAGCAGTCAGCACCTCAAGAACCTGGGCAGAGCCGTGGGGGCCAAAGTCAACGACTTCCTGCGGAGAAAGGAGCCCTTGAGTCTGGACGGTGCAGGCGCCATGGAGATTAATAGGACTGCGGGGGCCCGGCTGGCCGGCGGGGTTTCGGGCGAGGAGGCCAGGTGAGTGCGGGTAGGGGGGCGGCCGGCAGAGCTCCGAACTGACCCCGGGCCTCCAGAGAGCACCTCTGAGCTGGGCACATGGTTGTTGGCTGCCCCCCGGTCACTATGGCCGAAGTTTACCAAGCGCCCATCAGGCGTGCACAAGTGCCAGGCCCCACGCTCCCCTACCCCCGAAGCGGCCCAGATGGTTTCCATCTCACACAGAACCAGGTTCAGAGGGGTGAGGTTATGGAGTCAGTAGTGGGCACAGCTGGATTCGAACCCCAGCATTGCCGGAGGCTCCCAGGGTGGATGCCAACACCCAGCCACAGCTTTGAGCCACTGCTCTGCCGGTGGTAGGGGAGGAACGTGGGGGTCCCTGGGACCCACGGAGGCAGGGGAGGGAGAAGCCTGCTGGGGTCACCAGGTCCCTTCTAGGCCTTGTTTTCCACACCTGCTATGCTCCTCCGCGGGCAGTGTCCCCCATAGGGCTCATAGCAAAGCTCTGATGTGACACAACTCGCCAGTGGTCCCAACAGCAACACGTAGCTGCTGTCAGCACCGAGCAGGGGGCGGAGGGGAGGACAGGGGTCACCAGGGAAAAGCCAGCGGTGCTCCAGCTGCCACAACCCACAGAGCAAACCGAACAGGGGTGCGCTTGCTGGGTGGGCGAGCCGTCGTGCGGTGGGAGCTGGAGAAGCAAGGATGGGGCGGGGGTCTCGCCATCCTCAGAGCACCCGGGCCTGTTGTCATCGACCCCCCCAGGTCGGCCCCGCCCGATGCGTTCCCTCGGCTGGATCCTCCGCCTCCCATCACCAGGAAGCGAACCCCTCGGGCCCTGAAGACGACGCAGGACATGCTGATTTCGTCACAGCCCGTCCTGAGCAGCCTGGAGTACGGGACAGAGCTGTCTCCTGGGCAGCCCCAGGACCCCCTTCCCACTGCTCCACCCGAAGCCCCCCTGGAAATGGTGGACAAGGGCGAGGCTCTGCCCAATGGAGAGGTTTCCCTGTCCGTGCCTGACCTGATTCACCAGGACGGCCAAGACGAACCCAAGCCGAAGATGACTGAGTGCCGAAGGGCCTCCTCCCCGGGCCTCCTGGAGAGGAATGGCCTCAAACTCAGCCCGAGCCCCCCCGACCTGGCCGAGGCGCGGGAGGACGGCAGCTCCCCTCCTCGGGCACGGACCTCCAGCCTTGACAATGAGGGCCTGCACCCAGACCTGCTGTCCTTTGAGTAGGGCCTCTTCTTCCTGCCAAGCACCCCCCTTCCCCTCTGCCATCTCCTTCCCTGGTCTCCCTCGCCCCCACCCCGGCTCTGTGTGCCCTTTGCTCCCTCGTGCAGAGATCAGCAGAGAGCTGGTCCCCCCGTGTGGGCTGTGTAGGGCCAAGAGTCCCTCAGTTGTCCTTGTCAAAGGCTCATTTTCTGTAAACCAGAGGACAGGTCCTCTGGGTGCCAGCCACAGCCCCGGGGTGTTGGAGCACCTCTACTCCCACACTGCCCTGACTTCCCACTGTGCCCCTGCCCCTCTCCTTCCACAGTCTGGTTACTCTCTCCTGCCTCGGCTGAGGGAATCTGGCTGGGTGGGAAATGATGGGTTTGGCTGATGATGGGCCCAGCCTGGAAAGCGGCCTACCCTGAGTGCCGCCCAGCCACCATTCTGCCCGGTCCTGAGACCACGGAGGCCCCAGGTGGTTGCCTTGTGTCTGCCCTTTGGGTGCGGGCCAGAAGAGACACCAGGCCTGAGACCCGGAGGCAGCCTGGTTGCTGGCAGTTCTCGGGGTGTTTCCCATCTGGCCAGTTGGGGAATGCACCAAGCCCGCTGGGCACTGAGGAGGCACTGGGGGAAAGGGGTATGACCTGGCACATGTGGGCTCCAGGCATAGAAGGGGAGGCCGGGGCACCCTTGCTGCACGAGGACAGGGCTAGGTGGGCCCTGCAGAGGCAGCCGAACGGGCCACCATCCTGCTTTGGGAGAAGGCCCGGGAACTTGGTGTCCAGGCAGCTGGCCCCAACAGAACCTGGGGCCAAAGTCGTGGAGAAGATAGGATGAGGCCAGAGCAGTCGCTGGGGGCTCAGAGCAGTTTTCGGGGACCACCCCATGGCCTGAAATGAGGCAGAGGTAGGGTCCGGGTATGGTAAGTGTCAGAGCTGGGGTGACGAACATGAGACTGGGGTGTGGCAGGAGCTGTGGGACAGGCTCTCTCTTACCAGGCAGGAGGTGTTTGCGCTCGTGTTCAAATGGCCTGTGTCTCCCATCTCCCTCAAGCAGCCTCTGCCCTGCCTTCCCCTGGCCCAGATGCCACATGGTCCTCTCTGCATCCCGGCCTTCGGGATCTATGTCTGGGACCAACCCGGTTCATCCAGCATTAACCGGCGCCTGCCCTCCTGGGTTAACCCACTTTTATGTTCCTCTCTCCCACCAGGGACCCTGTCATGCTGTCTTCCTGTGGCCAGGAAACCCTGTCGGGGGGAGATTCCCAACCCTGGGGGGTCTTTGCAGCAAGAAGAGAACCTCCCTTTTGTTGAACAGGGTGGCTGGCTGCCTGGAAAAGCCTGGCGTGGCCCGTCCGGCCATGGCAGCCGGTGGGCAGTCTTCCTCCTGGGCCTCCTGCTGCCGCCCCTTTTCTGTCCATTGTTCAGCTCCCCCTGCCCCCCAACACTGCTCACGTTGTCCCATCACCCAGTTCCCGCTCCCTGCCCTCCCCACCTCTGTGACATCCAAGCAAACTCCTCTGGACCCAGGATTCAGGAGCCTGGTGGGGGGCAGCTCAGCAGGGTGCCAGCAGCCCTTCTGGTGTTCTTGCTTCTGGAGCCTCCTGCCCCATCTCGCACCCCATCTTCCGTTGCCCCAGAAAGCCAGGCTGCACTGTGTGCTCCTGGCAAAGCCTCGGCTCCCTTTCCCACGAGGGGCTCTGCAGGCCGGGTGCCGCGGGCAGGGCAGGTACTGAAGGTCTAGATCCTGCCACCTTCCTCCAAGAACATCACGACAATATGATCTCTGACCCCAAGACTCGGAAGTTCTCGGGACTAGCGTTTGGAAGCCTGTGAGTTCTCCCAGAACAGCTTGGGGTTTTGCACACAACACAGAGCTGGGGACAGGGGCAGAGAACCTAAGGGCGTGTGCTGGGAGCTTCCATGCCAGAAGATCTGTTTGCTTTTCCGGTGGGAAACTTAGCAGAGCCTTGGCCCCTGGGGCTTCTGCCCCAGAGAACAGGGTGGCCCCCGCCAAGTGACACGGCGGCCTGTCATGCCGAGAGCTGGCGGACCTGGGCTGGCTTAAGCATGCTGCTCTCCATGCCACACCCAGCCCCTGCTGAGGTCCTGGACCTCAGACTCAGGGTTAGCCCAGGGATCCCCGGTCGTCCCAGGACCATTGCCAGATGACGCTGGAGTTCCTCAGACTCATGTCTGATGCCCAGTGAGGGCTGGCGGGACCCTGCTCCCATCTTTGGCATCTCTATGATCTCCACCCAGGCCACTGACCTCCCACCGGGCGTGGGGAGGCAGCGATGCTGCCATCTGGAGGAGGGGTCTCAAGCCTGAAGTCCCAGCCTAGATATGGCCAGTAATCCCTGGTGCTAGGGGCTGAGTGCTGCCCCCAGGCGGCAGCAATGACAACTTCTAACCCTCCTGAGGGCCTGGGCTCTGAGCGGCTTCCTGTGTCTGTCTCAGCAGCCTGACCTCCCTATGGTCACAGGGTCCCCCCCACGCCCTGCCAAACACACCCTCATAGTGAGTCCAGCTTCTCACTATGGGCCACTTGGGTGGCCTGGTCGACGCAAGGGCAGGATAATGAGAAACAAAGGACCTATCTTCTGAGCCTGCATAAGGGAGTTGGGGGCACAGAGTCTCTTCCCTCCCTGTTACCCACCCCCAGTCCCACTGTTGGCACCTAGCCTTCCCCTGATAAATCACAGGTGAGCTTCCAGAACCTGGCAGGAGAGTGGCGCGCTCCCCTGCACAGAGAGAGAGGTGTCTGTGTGATGCACGTGGACGGTATGAAGACGAATGGGCGTATGGCCCATTGGCTTTGAAAGAACAAAGAGCTCCGCCCCAGTCTGGGAGAGGAAGATTACAGATCTGAGTATTTTCTAGAGATTTTATATTTATATTTTTAGTAGTGTTCTGGTAGAAGGAAACTGCAGAATAAAACGATCTGGTTTGGTTTCGTCCGTTGGCTTTGGTTTCTCCGGACTGAGGGGAAGTGGTCGGTTTACTCAAGGCTGGCTTGTTGGCGGGCGAGCACTGGCCTTTTGGGTTAGGAGCCTGGGCTGGTGAGACAGAGGTTGAACCCTGAGGCTGGTGGGCACTGTCTGCTGACCTCCCACCAGAGGCCCTCGGGGGAAGTGATCTCAGGCTTCCCCCTTCATGAGTCCCCCTAACTGGCTGGCCACTAAGCATCCCTCTTCCAACCTGACCATCATGTGGCTGTTGGAGGGGCGACATGACGGATGCAAGTGGACCCCTGGATTGTCCTCTAGGCTGTGACTTACCTGGGGCACAGCCCTCTTCCACGGAAGAGGGGACAGGGCTGTGCCTGTGCACACGGACCTCCTTCAGAGGGACCAGAGCTGCTGGCTGAGGTACCTCCCCACCCTGGAGCAACCTTGATGCTCGATTACTGGCCGGAGTCTTGCTGCTCCGAGGCCAGTGTTGGGCCCTGGGACCCGGAGGCCTCACACAGCCGAGAGATGGCCGGGCCTCTAACCACCTGAAAAGGGAGGAAATGGAGAATGGATGGGAGTGGGGACAGGAAAAGGGGCCTTTCTTCTGTTCACAGAAGCCATACACCTTTTTAAAGGGGACCCGGCTCTGTCCCTTTGCTCAGGTGAGAATTGGATTCTACAGCTCAGCACGTGGGGTCCCAGGCTCCACATCCGAAATGCTTCGGGCAGGAGGCCCCCAGCCTTCTCTGCATTGAGTTCCACTCAGTGTCTCCGAGGATGAAGGAGACAATGGTCCCGAAGGCCGCCCGCCTGCTTCCACCCAGCGGGGCATGGCGCATTGTTCTGGAAAGGCAGCAGAAACGCAGACACCCACCCCACACATTCCACGCACGGGGTTGGGAGGGAGCATTGAAATCACTTAAAATAGCAACCTTTTCTCTAGGTCCAAGCCCCAGCAACTACTCCTCAGGTAACTTCTCTGACTGACGGCTCCCCAGATGGGCTTCTGCGGGCATTCAGGTGTGAAATACACCTTTCCCATGCCTTTCTTTTCCACTGTGATGCAAAGTAGGTATTTGGGGCGAAGATCGAATAGGGAAAATTGTAGCAAAACGTTTCTTTGCAAGTGTAGAAACGGCCGTGCCTGTCACTCTTCATGCGCTGCTCCAGGCTGAGCTGATGGTCTAGAAAGCTGGGTGCAAAGATGGATTTGTTCATACAACGTATCCGAGCCGCTCCAGGAGCCCAGTGCTGTCTGGTGCACAGCGGTTACCTGGTGGGAAAGGACTGCCTCATTCTCTCCATGTCGGGAAGGGGTGAGGACACCGAAGAACCCGCCCTCCTGGGACAGACAGGCTATGTTAGCAGGGTACCAAAATGCGGCAGGAGCATCGAAGGCGGCAGTGAATTGCAGCTGGTAGTGTCCCTCCCTCTGAGCTCAACCTTCCAGTAACTGCTGAAGAAAACCAACAAAGCAGAGGTCATCGAGAAACCCACTTCATTCCTGAGGTCCGTTCACGGGCTGCTGGGAGCCCCCGCTGGTATTTGGAATTAATGGAACCCGCTAATCCGGGACGGCTCCCCAGATGCTGCTCTCAACTCTGAGAATGCCTTCTGGTTCAGTTTGCTCTCAGGCTTTGGAATTCCTTTCAGGTCGGCGAATCCTGGGACTGTTCTAGAATGCTCTGTGGTTTGACTCCGTGTCCTGTCCATCCCTGTCTCTAGGCCAGCTGGTGGCTGGGGATGGCTCAGCAATGGTTTATCTTTGAGATTCAGTCCCCCGTGGTCCCCTGGGCTTCACTCTGCCAGCAGCATGTGGGGTGCCCCACGCAGAGCCCCCGCTGGGCTCCCCTGGGGGCGGGAACAAGTAATTAAGTCTGCACAAAGAAATTCAGCCCTGGGAGATGACTCCCCGCCTCCCCCCAGACAGTGTCCTACATGCAGATGGCCTTTCGCATCTTTCATCTCTCCCACGGAAATGCACTCGGGAAACTTTAATTTAGGTTGTTCAGGGAAAGCATCTCTGAGTGCTTTGCCCCTCCACCGTGCCCTCCTCCCCGCTGCCCCTCGCACTGGGACACGTCGTGAGAGCCCAGAGTCCCCGGCATGGACTAATGAGAAAATTCCTCCGTGTTGGGTATCTAGGGCTCGTCCCTCCTGGGACACAAATCCTCTTTGTGTCCAGCTTATCTCCAGCTGCTGCCATGATAAATGGTCCAAGTGGAGGGAGCCCAGGCTGGCCCTGTCCCACGGGACGAATCCCCTGGTTGTTGCCCACAGGGCCCCGGAAGCCAGCTTGAGGGAGTGTTGAAAGACCCGCTCGGGCGAACGAGGCTGCTTTCTCTCTCAAGGGAGGTGCCTGCGGAGTGTGTCTGTTGCAGACCGGGAAGCACAGCCAGCATTTTCTCCTTGGAAACAGCCAGAAAGGGGGAAAATTAACCAAAGTGGAAAAGCAAACCCACCCCCAACAAACCGCACCGGTCTGGTTTTGTTTTTACCATTTAACCAGTTAACCATGGTCGGGTTGTTTGCTACCCTCTTCCTTAAGGCACCGTCCAAGTTTACCACCTTGTTCTCTCTGGGTTCCCATGGGTTCCCCAACTCCTGTCAGCCTGGTGGTTAGGCCCAGGGGAGTGTCCGGCCAGCTTCTAG